TAACTTTAACAGTGTTTCTCTTATAAACTTGGGTGCCTTTGCTTTTGGTGCATGTTTAGAATTTTAACATCCTCTTGGTGGATTTTTCCTTTAAGGAGTATGTAATGTCCCTATCTTTTCAGATTAGTTTTGAAGTCTCCTTTGTTGGATACTAAAATAGCTACATGTATTTGCTTCTTGGGCCCATTTTCTTTTTTTTAAATACCATTTTCCATCCTTTTACCCTCAAGTGATGTCTGTCTTTGATGATGATTCCTGTTACATTTTTATGTTATGGGGTTGTCCCATCGCCTATCTTTTATTTGCTGTTATTTATTCCTTGTGTCTTCGTGGATGTAGCTAACCTCTTCGAACTAAGTTTTTCCTCCTAGTGCCTTTTGTAGAGCAGGACTGGTGAATAGAAATTAAATTTGGTGTTGTTATGACCCTTTTCTCTGTCAACTGTGATTGATAGTTTCACTGTACATAGAGGTTCGTGCTGGCATCTGTGGTCTCTCAGAGTTTGTAGAATATCCATTCAGGATCTTCTGGTTTTCAGTCTCCATTGAGAAGTCAGGTGTTATTCTAAAGGTGTGTCTTACATGTGACTTGCTCTTTTCCCTTGCAGCCTTTAACACCATTTCTTCTATACATTTAGTATTTTGACTATGTATCTTAGAGAATTCTTTTTTGGTCCTCTCTGATCTGTATGCTTCTTATACCTTGATACCCCTTTAGATTAAAAAAGGTTTTTTGTAGTTTTATTAAAAATATTGTCTGTGCCTTTGACCTGTATGTATTCTCCTTACTCTATTATTCATAGTTTTGGTCTTTTCATAATATCTTTTTTCTTCAGTGTTTTAGATTTAATGTTTTCTTTGACTGAACTATCCTTCTTTTACTTTGCCTTCAAGACTTGAAACTCTCCCTTTCAAGTCTTTGAATTGGTTAGTGACCCTTACCTGTGAGTGGTTTTGTTTGATATCTTGAACTTTTCATTTCCAGTTTTTTGGGGGAGGGGTGGCAAAAGATTCTTTAGTGACTATTTTGTTGTTAAATTCTACTTTCATATCATAAATTGTTTTCATTACTTCATTCCACTGTTTTCCGTCTTTGTTAAGGGATTTACTCATTTACTCTGTGTCAGAAGCCAAAATGGTTGCTGGCTTCTGGAGGTGGCTTATTGTCTTGGTTGTTAATAGTTGTGTTTATGCACTATTATCTAGACAATTGGAATTATGACATCTTAAGTATTTCTTGGCATAGATATTTCATCTTGCATTGTTCCATAGGGGATGGAGAAGGCTAGTTTATTTATAGTTATCTAAAATTGTCATTTGATCCTTCCAGTTATCCTGTGAAAGATGTTGGAAATGTTATTTTCATTCTTCACACATAAAAATTTGAGGTGAGAAATTTTAAACAATTTGCTATTTTCACACTGTGTTGGTACCTGTCCTCAAACACAAGCACTTTAGTTCAAATCCAAAGTTCTTATGTGACATGGCACTTTCCTATCAAAGTAGTCATTAAATACTTTTTTTAAAAAAAGATTTCATTTATTTATTATGTATACAGTGTTCTGCCTGCATGTGCTCCTGTAGGCCAGAACAGGACACCAGATCTCAATTCAGGTAGTTGTGAGCCATCATGTGGTTGCTGGGAATTGAACTCAGGACCTCTAGAAGAACAGTCAGTGCTCTTAACCGATGAGCCATCTCTCCAGCCCTCATTACATATTTTTAACGTGAATATTTCAGGCTGATGTCATACAAACTTTAAAGCATATATCCAAAAGAGTATCTTTGGCTGTACTGTCCAGACTCAGCAAAACACACCGTTTTTCTGAATTAACAATGTCTGAGGCATCTATTAAATTCTTGAGTTCTACTAAAAAACTATTGATCTATCAACCAGAACCTGTGTGAAGGCCAAGAAAATCTTTTTAACAAGTATCTCTATTTGCATACTAAGTTTCAAATTTTCTAGGTTTATTTACCATTTCTCATATTTTTTTAAACAACCCTATTTCACCTAAAGTTCTTACCTAATATTTTAGCAGGTAGTAATTGTAAGCCATAAACTCCCCAAAATACCTTGCTGTTTCCCAACTATTTTTCCCAATTAGTTTACAAAATCTATCAGTTCTTAAAAGGACTCAAATATAGGGAGTACAGAAATGGCTCACAGGCCAGGAATGCTTCTTGATCTTCCCAAGGATCTGGATTTGCTTCCCACATCCTCACTGTATGCCTCACAACTGCCTATAACTCCAACTCCAATGAATATAATACCCTCCTCTGGTTCACAGACATCTGCACTTATATGACATAAATAAAAATTTAAAAAGAGCTTAATAATTAATTTTTCAGTAACTATCCTTCTCATATGTCTTAGCACTTTGTCTATATTAATTATGTTATACTACACAAAACAAAATTACTACTTTCAAGCACATCAACTCTTTCTATGCAGCAAGAACTGCAGCTGATGTATCTTAGTATTCCATTATACAGTATACTAAATATTTATTATCATACTAAATATTCATTATCAATAAAGGCTCTTGAATTTGCTTCCAGTGATTAGTAATAACAAATTTTAAAACTCAATGATTAAAGGACTGATGGAAGTCAAATTTCTCAGGTACTACTACTTTTCTACAAAGATATAGGCAAGCAGTGCTTGGCAAACAGCAAGTGTTACTATTTGCTAGATGGTAAACTACTAGCATTTGAAGGCAAGGTACTCTTTGCAATATGTAAAAAAATGTTTCAATATAGTATAAATCCCCACTTTTCAACAGTTAATGGATTTCATGCAAAAGTATTTTAAAGGTTTTATACTAAACAATTCTTGAGATGTTTGCCATTGGAAGAGGGTTACTGATAATATGAATCTTCTTTAAGGTAAATGAAGTTCATTGATATCAGAAAGTATTATCAATTACGACTACTTTAGTCTTAGTATCAGGTACTAATACTAGTTTGAAGCAAGTTTCAAACAAAACAATCATAAGCACATAATGACTGTGGTAAATGTTACATGGGAGGGAAGAAGAATATGGTTCACAAAATCTGAATAACTTCATAGAATTTCATTTAATAAGTATATTTAAAATTCATTTTAATTACATTCAAATTATATTCACTCTACCAACAAACCCACCATTTATTTACAAGACTAGATATTACAAAACACATGAAAATTTAAACAAGTTTTATATTTTAAAAGTCTGTTCAAATTTGGAATCTTGAAAACTTCTACATATACACCTAAAAAAAGTACACATTATCAGGAAAACTGTAAGTTTTTTGAATAAGAAAAGAAATGTAATACACATACAATGAAGCATAATTCACTTTGGCTCAGCTTACAGGTATGTCTCAAAGTGTGTGAGTGGGTGGGTAGATGAATGTGTGTGTGCACATGTATGCATTCATATATTACATATTTATCTATATATCACAATTTCTAGTACAGGCAAAAGTCACAGCGGATGTCTTAAAGCAATGCACCAATATGTTTTTTTTTCTTTTCAGAGAAAGTAGAAGAGTTCTCAAGACTTCATGCTGATCCATGATTTTTCAAATCTTTGTTCTCAAATACAGAACTAGACTTTTGTTTTCTTTTCAACTTTAAATTCACTTTATAACATTGACTCAAATGCCATGAAAAGTACTGTCAAGCCTGCTCTATTTAGAGCTCAGTAACACAGACATGTCTGTTGTTTCTGTCCTGTCCTTCTACTCTCTCTAAAAAGTCTATAAAGAAACCTTTAACCAGTGATGGAAAAGATGTCAAACAGTTACTCTGAGATGGTAAAGAAATGTGAGACTTGGCATTCACACAGACTTACAAAAATAAAAGTCCCATTTATATAAAACACAGGGGAGGGTTGGAAGCTAAATGGAAGAAAACATAAAGAACTGTGGTCCTTTTGAGATTTCTTTCATAGATAATAAAGCAAAAAAGCTACAAATAACTGCTGAACATTTTTTTTAAACTTGTATGAATTTCCATAAATTTTAGTTTTTCTAAATTGGGTTTCTATAGCAAAACAAAGGAGTCATAATAGTAATAGTTATATGAAAGGTGTTTCATGGGAAGAAAAAAGAATGAGTATACTGTACATCAGTTAAAAGAGGCAGGACCAGGAATAAAATTAAGCACTGGTCTGATCAAGGCAGAGAGAAACTACCTTTCTTCAGATTTTATCTCATTCTGTTATCAGAGAAAAATAGGATTCCTTCTGTTTTTGTTTTTTTTTTTTTTAATTATATCTCAGGATAAAATAACAAAATGAATATCACTTAGAATACTACACTAGTTCTTCAAGAGATAAACTTTTAGGTTTTTTGTTTTTGTTTTTGGTTGCTTAATGATAAACCCAAAAGCTGACTCTTCTAGAATGGTGTTTAGATGTACTGATATATCCATGCCTTTCCTAAATTAAACAGTCAACAATAAGAGTTTGGCATCACTGGTAGGTGGTAGCATATGCCTTTAATCCCAGCACTCAGGCAGCAGCAGCAGGCAGATCTCTGAGTTCCAGGCCAGCCTGGTCTACAGAGCTAATTCCAGGATAGCCAAGCCTACACACACACACACACACACACACACACACACACACACACACACACACACACACACAAAGAAAAATCCGGTCTGGAAAAACAAAAACAAACAAACAAAACCAAAAAGTTTGTCATCATCAACAGAATGTTTTAAAGAAATGCTACAAATTAAAATAAGTGCTGTTGTATCAAACATCGAAATTGCTGTTTTTTCATCAGAGACATATAATTAACATTATATAATCACCACCTACTATCACTACAAAAATGTAAACAATCTTTTCCTCTATATGAAAATGATGATTCGGAAGTAACACTCTAAGCTACAAAACCCACTCATGACACATGACACCTCACCAAGGTTTAAACAAGTCAGTGCATTCAGCAGTTACTCTTCCACAGCCAGGAAGGAGTTCTAAAAAAGTTTAAAAAAAAAAAAAGTAAATAACCTGAAAGTCATCCCAATGAGAACAAATACTGCAAGTAGTGCCCAAGCCAAATATTGTATACCCCGAGTGTCAATGTCAATCAGCTGGGGATTTTTCTCCCAACGGAAGGCGTTCCCATAACTGGAGCAACTCTTCACCAACCTGAGGCTCTAGCTCCTAGGTAAGTCAAAAGTTAAAATAAATGTTACAGAAGACCTGGGCTGAATTATTTTTAATCAGCAAAAGAATATGTGAAAAAAAAACACTTTAAATTTCATATTTAAAAAAAATCATATCATGCTAATATCAAATGGTATATACTATTTTTAATTCTCTGCTTTTATAGAGTTGACATTCAGATTAATTTCTACTTGGGGTGAAAATCTTGCACTTTTTGTGATGAACTAGCAACAGATTTCCATGTAATGAATCTGGAATTTTGTCTAGATGGAGACAATGCATTATGTAAAGTGGAGATTCCACAGAAGTGCTTGATTTGAACTTTTGAAGGTTTGAAACCTAGAAGCTTTGAGGCTTTCTCCCCAAGAAAGCATTGTAAGTGACTACATATTCCTACCTTAGTAATTATTTGATTTAAATCAAAATTAATTAATTAAAATGTTATGGCATGAATAAAAAGTATGCCAATTTTGTCTTTCTGTGGCATGGATGATACTTCTAAAGAGTACATAGAACTCAACTCTTTCCCCAGGGTGGTTTGAAGTTAAGTCACAATGCTTTAAATAAATTACTGGATGTAATTTTTGGTAAAACTAACCTCTGAATCTACTTTCTCCCATGTGGACTAGGACCAATAGCTCACTGTACTGTTAGTAAGAACAGATTACATTATGCAGCTAGCACAGTATTTTGGCACTATTCATTAATTCTCATCATGTTACTAGTTTAAATGCACAGGCTACATAATGTGCTTCAGCTACAAGGAAACTGACTGTGCTGTCAGCATGAGACTTCAGTCACATTACCTCACCATGGTACTCTGCTTTGGTCACATGTGTCATTAATAAGACAACAGAAACCTCCAGGAAGTGACTTATGAAAGATTCCATACAGTAAGAAACAAAACTTAACAAAATGTTTTAAAGGATCTATAAGATATTTGCAAGCTGACTTTTACACTCTTTATAAGTCAAAACCACTGTTGTTCATGTGTATACGGTATATGTAATTTATATTCATACATTTTTTCCTTTGAGCACTAACAACAAAAGAAAACAAAATCAAAGGAAAAAACTTAAGATGCTAGTATATACCTGCCCATCTCTGCTTATCTGTACTTTCTTGTTGTCATTCCAAGGATTGAGCAAATGGTGTGCAAACTGAAAGGGTAGGCTTTCTTTGCGTATCCACTCCACTTTAAATACTCCACCTAGTCCAGCTGACCCCCAGTCCTGGCTCTTCTCCCTTCCGATCTCAGAAGACATCCTAGAGAATCCCTGTATTAAAAAAATGAAGGGAAGAGAAGGAAGCAAAGATGATATTAAAATATCTATATTTATCAGATAGGGTTTATTATAACTTTTAAGGAATTTTCAAGAAAAGATACAATATTAAAATAATGTCAATTTATCAAGAACCAAAAATAGCTTCTTTATCAAATTTTCAAATTTTGGAAGATAAACCAATTCTAGCTTAACATAATTTCAAATATCAGTAATTTCTAAATAATGTATCAACAACTGTAAGTCAGTATTTATTACATAAGATAATCATCAAACTTGTGATTTTTAACTATTAATACTATAAATATTAAATAATTCAATAGTTTAATTCAATGGGTTGCAAGTTAAGTCAAAGGCAGTTAAGAAGCCATCTCAGAGACAGAGATGGCTTAATAGAGAAGAGCATTAGCTGCTCTTTCAGATGACCTGGATTCGATTCCCACCACCCATTTGGTGGCTCACTACATACTAACTTCAGCTCCAGGGGATCTGACTCCCTCTTCTGGCCACTACAGGTACTGTATGCATGTGGTACATAGACATTCAAGCAAAACACCCATATAATATAACTTTGAAATTTCTTTTAAAAAGAAGCATGGTCTTTTAATTGTCAATAGCTTTTCCAGTCCACACAAACATTTTACAAAGGCAGCTTCATGGTATTTCATCCACTAACAAATCCAAAGCTGCTGTCAGAAGGAAGAACGAGTCATCCGGAAATACTCTGGAAAGTCAAAATAAAGCACAGTTCTACCACCCCCTTCCAAAAATGTGAAGTTGACCTCACTCCCAGTCACTACAGACAATTTTAATTGCACCTAATACAATAAAAAGCTAGGGCTTGGTTTGTTTTTCTCTGAATTTGAGAGTATAACCTACAGGTAAAACAAAGCCCATTGATTCAGGATGGCTCACCTGGAAATGTCCAGATCCTTGAACAGAAAATACCAAGTAAACCATGCTGCTCTCCCAAAAGGCTCGGTTTAGCTTCCGCTCATTACTAGGGGTTGTAGACCAGATACCCTTCTGTTGAGAAATTTCAAGGTTTCTCAGATTGCTACTCTTCATTATGAAGTAACGAATAGGCATGTTTGGTCTTGGTGAAGGAGATTTTGAGCCCTATGAAAGAATGCATATGTTCTTGAAAGGTAATTTGACCTTTCAAAGCCAGTAGGCTCTCACAAACATCTTCAAAACACATAAACTTTACCAAATATTCAACAATATAAATAGTTGTCATGCTTTGAAACCTTTACACTCCTTAATCAAAAAGCCAAAAAGAAGCACTTAATTCCAAGAATCCAAAATGCCTTGGAACAAGAACGGAACTTTATTCATTTTAATTTATACTTAGAATGAATTTTCAGAAACTATTTTTTATAACCTTTCAATGTTGGAAACAAAACCAAAGTTGTTCCGGTTTACTGCCTGAAGGTAGTTTCAAGAAGACAAGAGGAACAGTCCAGTACTCTCACTGAAGCTCAGACACCAAAGTAACCAAAGTGCCACAGCAATGTATAAAGGCAAAGGACCCCCAAAAGTGGATGGCTAGGCAATGACCTGAACAAGACTTTCAAAAAAGAAATGTGCTGAGAGTAGGCAAAGAATGGAAGGAAAGCAGTACACTAGATAATTCCCGCATCTCCCACATGGTTGGGAATACCTGCTATCCCCAGCTAGAGCAGACACCTTGTCAGACACAGTGCACCTGCCCTTAGAGGGTCGAATTTGAACACTGGAAAGAAACTAATACCAGAACAAAGACTGCTCAGGACCTACTAGAACACTTCTTTTAATCAAACCTCAAAAGGATTAAACTGGAAAGATAGCTCAGGAAGTTAAAGTACTTGACAAGAAAACATGATAGCCTGAGTTTGATCCCTAGGGCTCATGGTGAAAAAGAACTGACTCCTGAAAATTGTCTTGGAATGTGAATGCACATATGTACATGCATGTACATGAACACACACACAAATAATTTTCATACATTAAAAAGTATTAAACTAATTGTAACTAACCTAGATAACAGAATAAAATCTAACACTATTCAAAGGGAAGATAACAAAAATCGAGCAGCCAAACAAATTTATAAGAAATACAAAGAAAATAAAGGGTAGAATCCATAACCAGGAAAAAAAATAATACATGCAGACACACATGGCAAATTTTGAAGACAGAAGACAAAAATGGTAAAGTACCTATTATAAACTGTGTGAATGATATTGAAGATTTAAAAAAAAGCCATGAATATTATAAAAGAGGTATTTTTAAATAACAGGAGATATTAAAGACACATGGGAAACCCCTGAGACAAAATAGTAAGTGCACACAATGACATTACAAAAAAAAGGTATATTCAAATATATCACCGAATGAAGAGATAGCAATAAAATTATCTAAAAATGAAGCCAAGAGGGAGAAATGACTAGAAAAAAAAGTTTGTTCTACACTATGAAATATCGAATATACACATATACAGATATAGATATACACGTATTTAGCAAGAGCTCCAGAAAAGAAGGGAGAAAGGGTAGATATGAGAAATAATATGAAGAAATTACAGACTTAGATTTTCTAAGAACTGATGGAATTACAGACATACAAATTGAAAAACAAAGAGGATCAGAGGACAGGCTCTAAACCAATACAGAGAAACCCTGTCTCAAAAAACAAAAAATAAAAACAAACCAAAACTACAAAATAAAGCTATAGAGAGTTGTTCCTCAAGGGAAGGTTAAAAAAACAAACTATAGGTTAGGGAAGAAAAGCTACAAAGCATGTTAAAACAATTGCTCTAAGTATTTTATAACTTAATTTTAATAAGATATCCAATAAAGAACAGCACAAAATGAACAAAAAATTTAAATAATTTACCAAAGACCATACACAGAATGATGTGTAAGCACAAGAAAAGATGCAGAATATCAGCAGACACTTGGGAGATGCAAATTAAAACAAGGAACTATCATTATATAATCCACTAAAATAACTAAGATATAAAAAGAAAAATTTTGTCAAAATGGAACAAAACAAATTCTTATAGATTATTGCAGAAGATGGGAACTAGTTCAGCCATTTTGAAAAGCAGTGAAGCAGTTCCTTGAAAGCTAAACAAGTATTTAAGATACCACCTACAATCCCACTCCTAGGTATCCAACACCAAATATAAAACATCTACATACAAAGGCTCCATTCATATATTATAGTACTTTTAGTACAAATACAAAGTAGAATAACACAAACATTCACATCAACTGGTAAGTGAGTAAACAAACTATGGCATATCCACACAATGGAATACTACTCAGAGAAAAATGTAGTCATTACATTCAACAGCATAGGTGAATTCCAAAGCAATGCAACAAGTAAAATAAACTAGAAACCATAAAAGCACAATTCCAGTTAAGACATTTAGGAAAAATGGGCAGTGCTTACTGGGGTACATAGGTAATAGAAATGTTCTGTATATGACTATGGTATCTTTACAATTACATACACTTGATAAAATTCACCTAAGTTGTTCAATTTAAGCTGATACTTTTTCTGTTACATATATGTCTTTGTATGTGAGGAGGGGTGTTTCACGACACAGTATACTTATGTGGAAGTAGCAGAACAATCTGCAGGACTCCATTCTCTCCTTCTACCATCTGGGTCCCAAGAATCAAACTGAGGACATAAGGACTGGTGGAAAGCACTTTTACTCACTGAGCCATCTCAGTGGTCCATAAACTAGAAGGTTCTTTGAACAAAGTATACCTTAATAAAGGGGCTTAAAATACCCCCCCCCAATATAATGTATGAAGAGAAACATACTCTTCTTATTTAGCATGTGTTCAGCTGACACTGTTCACCAAACACAATACTTCCTTATCCATGCACTAGTAACACAAGTAAAAATAAATACTTTCTATACATGTGAAACCACTCACATTTTTAAGACAGTTTTCAATTCTATATCAAAAATTTCTATCTTCCACATTTTATTTTTTGTGTTTAAAGTATTCATTGAACCACAGAAAACACTTGAATGAATTATAAACCAAAATTACTATCAAGGTGATATTTTTGTTCCAACCAAAAAGTTCTATAAAAATAAAGAAAAAAATCTGCCATCAATAAATAATCAGATTTAAAGTACACTAAGTGGTAGTAATTAGAACACAGCCACCACTACAAAAGTATAACTTTTATAATTGTGTATAGATAATTACATGAGATGTGCTATGAACCCGGCTTCTTACTACACAGATTGTAGATGCCCTACCTTCCCTGAGGACGGAGGAGAGGGACTAGCACAAGGACTTGGGTAACTGCTGCTGTCTGTAGATTTCACAGATGATTGATCTGATCGGTCATCAGTGCTCCGTTTAGGATGTAAAATTCCTCTGTCTTTGTACTTCTGAGGTGGATGTAAGGCTGGAGATGGAGATTTCATCAGTACTCTTGAGCAAGAAGAAGCACAAGTTAGTTATATATGAGTTTATAATACAAAGGGAATGCTATTTCAATCCAAAATCTCAATGACATACAATGTATGGAATACTTTTAGGGGAATTTCATTTTCCTATTTACATTAGTAAATGAACTAGAATGGGCTAGGAGTGTAACTTAGTGATATAAAACTTACCTAGCATGCCTGAAGCTCTGGATTTGATCCCCAGCACACCAATGAATAAATAAATAAGTAAATATGTAAATAAATACAGTTGAGGGGTATTTTGCTCAGTTAGTGAAGTACCCACTGCATGCTATGACTGCAATGTACATCATCCCCATAGGCTCTTCTGTCTGACTACTGGTACCCAGTCCTATTTGGGAAGTTTATGGATACTTGAACAGCTGAGCCTTCCTGGAAGAAGTAAGCCACTGAAGACAAGCTCTGAGGCTTTAGAACCTGACTACACTTCTTGTTCTTTGATGAAACATGACCAGTCAACTTCCTGCTCCTATATCCATGCCTTTCCTCCCTGTCTTCCCCACCATGATGGACTCTACCCATCATGGAAATGTAAGTCAAAATAAGCCCTTTCTCTCTAAATTGTCTTTGTCAAGTATTTTATCACAGCAACAACAACAACAAAATAATAAAATTAAATAAACCAAAAAACTAATCTACCATACAATCACGAGGATCTGATCTCAATTCCCAGTACCAACATGAAAGGAGGTTCTGTAATCTCTGAACTAGGGTGCCAAAGAGAGGCAAATCCTTGGATCTCCCTCCCCAGCCAGCCAAAATAGTGAGGTCTAAGTTCATTGTGAGACCTTGTCTCAAAACTAAAGGTGGAAAGCTACTAACGAAGATATCCAATATCAATTTCTGACATTGGCACACATACACACAGCAAAACAACAACAACCACCATAGACTATAGGATATATTTTTAAAAAGAGGTAAAACCACATTTTGAAAAATCAGGAATGATATTGTATAAAACAGACTTAAAAATGATAGTATGCTAACATGAAAAGAATGCCGGTCTAGAGAGAGAAAACTAAAATCTATATACTAGACCAACACTAAATGAACACATAACCCTGTGCATAACACTGAACTTTATTTGTTAAATTAAAGTTATCTTAATGAACTCTAAGAGTCTTCTAAAATTCTATAAATACCATGAACATATCATTTAAGTTTTTTTTAATTTTTTAAAAATGCAAAGTATGTACTCTGATATAATCAGACAGTATATTCTGGTTTCAGGATAAGGCTTCCAATACCATCTAAAAATAGTCTTTCTAAAACAAGGGATATGATTAAACCTTGAAAGCTAACCACTAATTTACACAGAATAGAGTATAAGATTTAATGATACTAGCTGAAAACAGACAAGTTCAGTATGCTGGGTATCTCATAGTAACACTGACCTAGTTTCTTCCAAAAGGTAAGAAGAAATACTCCACATGCCAATAAATTAAAAACAAACAAACTTAACACCCTACCTCATACAAACCCTGAATTCAAATGAATCTACAATTCATAGCAAGTGGGAAATTTCAGCTTTGCTAGAATAGAGAACGATATCTGCCTTCTTCAGCACTGCTGCGCTCACGCTGAGCAGGCACCCAGCCATCACTGACTAGCAGCATGCTCTTCTGTGGCACTTCTCCCTAGCAGAACCAACAGGAGGCAGTGCTATATGAAGACTGCTCCTTAAAGAGCACCGCCAGGGCTTCCTGTGTGGTGTGTCCAGGAAAAATGTCATCTGACATGTATCCACTAAAATGGACCACTTTACAAATTATTATCTTCCAAAGAGACCTTAATTTTATGAATTCTGGGTATATAATATTTCGGTTTTTTCTTGAAATGACCTTACTAAACCATAAGCACCAACTTAAAAGTCATTCATATTCCCTTAGTACTTACAAGAAGTATCTTAAATAAACTGCATTTTATTGTGATCTTTTACATACACTATGTGTGATTATGGGAGAGTATAAACAGTTCACTGTCCTGGAGAAATTGTACCCATCTAAATAAAATGCCAGAGTCACCTTTCTGCAGCAGTGGATCCATCAGCAAACTCGGTGTCAGCTGAACTTTTCCTACTATTATTGGATCTCCAAGAGGAAGCCAAAGGAAGTTCTTCTGAAGACATAGGTCTTGGCCTCTGGCCAATTCCAGATGGTTGCTGTAAGCCTGCAGACTGCTCTTCAGTGCTTACAACAGCTATAATTGCTCGGATGGTAGCTTCATCAACTTGAGACCAAGGTTTAGATGGAGCTCTCATTCGGCGTAAAAACAAGCTATGCCACTTCTGTCTCAGCTGCAGCGATAAACTGGCAGCCTGTAATCAGAGTGTCCTCAGTTCAAATACAAGCAAAACGTGCATCATATATGTAAGAAGGTTCTTTTCATTAGTTATGCTCAATAACTGACTATGAAGAACTATCTTCAATAGTTTTCTATTCATTTCATTCACTCTGTTGCATAAATGACACTTTTAGACATCATATTCTAGGGGCACTAGAGACACAGAAGGAAACAAACAGCTAATAAAGGAGATAGTAAACATTGAAGGTAGTATGTGATTAATATTGAAAAGGCAGTAAGGTAAATAAGAGAAAAAGCACTTAGCCCATTCATATCATACTTTAGCATTAATAGAGCATCCAAATGATAATGGCCAGGATGCAAATGAATGCATAAGAAGGCCAAATCTACAGATAGACTTGAGAGACATAAATGCTGTCATTTCTAAATCTACAGAGAAATAGCAGGAATTGTGAAGAGCAAGAGTGAAGAAAAGAACAAGGAACTTAGAAGTAGAAATTTTTTTTATTATTAATTATTTTGGTTTTTCGAGACAGGGGTTCTCTGTAGCTTTGGAGCCTGTCCTGGAACTCTCTCTGTAGACCAGGCTGGCCACAAACTCAGAGATCAGCCTGTCTCTGCCTCCCAAGTGCTGGGATTATAGGCGTGCACTGATGCCTAGCAACAAAATTTATTTAAAGATACAAGTACTTACAATTTAAAGCAAAGTACACATGTAAAAAAAAAAAAAAGAAACAACTACAAAGGAAGAACGAAAAATGATTGACCTTATTTAAGACAGAAAATCTGGAGCAGGACTCAGGAAGAAAAATGGAGAAAAGAACTATTAAAAGGAAGAGGCAATACACAACAGTGCCAAGTCGTAGAACAGGTTACCAAAGACAGACTGGCAAATAACACAGAAATGCAGTTCAGTGAAGTAAAGGACTGATGTGAATGGAAATACCACAGTATGCTCATATAATAAATTCATGATAAATAGAGTGATGGTTAAGAGTTAAGCTAGCCAGTGCTGAGCACTGACAGCTAGGTTATTCCCCTAAATGGACAGAGAATGGGAAAAAAAAAAAAAAAAAGAAAAAAAGTCAGACAGACAGACAGACAGACAGCAGACAGAAAGAAAGACCTGAAATAAGAAAAGGCTATGTCAGCAGGGCCTTCGATAGCTCAGTTGGTAGAGTGGAGGACTGTAGTGGAAAAATAGGCTATGTCAAGAAAAATCTTAAATTTTAAAAACAAAAATTTATTTCTCCCAATTCAGTTATGAAAACAAAATGAACTCATATCTTTCTCTAAGAAATGGCAAAAATAAATGGTGTTCTATACTCAAAACTCAATAGTTTATATATCCAAAAATACTAAATTACTGAGATGGTTTTGGTCCCTCTAAAAATTTATGTTGACACATAATTCCCAACGCAACAGTATTGAGAAATGTGACCTTCAGAAAATGACAATGACTTTGCCCTTCAGCTTTCCATCATATATGGACACACCATTCTTCCCTACTGAGGTCACAGGGTTTAAGTTGTCACCCTGTGTCATCAGCACCCTGACCTTACACTGAGGAATTTCTGGTTTTTAAAATCACTCAGCCTCTGGCACTGTGTAATAGGAGCACAGAGAGAGCAAGATAACAGTCACATAAATGCTGGATTGCAACTATGCTGCTTTGAGACCTCTGACAGAAGAAAAGCCCAATGTGGCAGAGAATACTTGAGGGCTCTATGAAAACTGAAAAACAAGCCCTAGATAATTTCTAATATTATGGGATCAATATTGAAGATACAAATTTTAACATGCTATTTTAATTCATATTAAAAATATGTCCTATTAAAAAGCAACTTACCTCTGGCTCTAGTTTGAAATTAAGCCACTCATCAAGTTTCAAAGCAGCCAAATTAGCAGTAGTTCTGTCCTCCATTTCACTGTCACTACTATCATTGGGAATGCCATCCGCTGTCACAACACAGATGAAAACAATTGATCACTTTACCTTCTTATAAAACGGCAAAGCAATGAAACGGATATTCTTATATGCAAAACTCCTTTTTATTGTCTAATAATCCATTTAGTAAGTTCACCTAATCAGAGTATAAATGTAATCTAAATATATAAAATATGGACCAACAAGATGGTTCAGCAAAGCACAAGCCTGACATGTTGTTTGCTGTCCAGAACCCATAGTGGAAAAAAAGAACAGAATCCAGAAATATGCCCAATATTTACAAAAACTATCAAGAGCATACAGTACTGTTTAATGGAACAGACTGAACTTCCTGGAAAAAAAAAAAAAACAATAATTAAAGTTTAAAAAAAAAAGAGCTGTTGCACTCAGAAAAGAGTACAAGAAGACAACAACCAAAATTTAAAAACAGGGACAATTATCAAAGAATACTTTAGCAATATAAAGGCAGCAAAGAGTTACAAGTAGGTCCTTCATTGACAGATACTGAATTTATTGGTAAACAAAAATACTAAATGAGTGTCCAGTGTAAATGTAAATACTAGTTACATTAAAGAAGATAAAAGAAATACACAAAGCTTACATAAAGATTACAGATTTAATAGACATCTTTAAGCATTCTAGAAAATGATATAAAAATACTATTTAATAAGTGGTGTAGATAAAAGAGAAACACTCCCCAAAGAGAAGGGGGAATACATTAAATCAAATATACCTCATTGAGAAAAATAAACCTTAAGTCAAATTACAGAAAATAAAAACAATATTCATCACAGCAATAGAAAAATGACATTTTCTCTGCTCTGAAAGTAAATAGTAAAAGATTAATCAATCTGAAAATATAGTAATTAAAACAACTTAAAGTGTGATAGGAAAAGGCTAATACCTTTAAGGCTATATATATATATATATATATATATATATATAGCCAATTCCTAGGTTGGCAAGATTAATACTGTGAAAATACCTACACTATTAAAAAACAATCTATTGATTTCAGTGCAATTTCTATCAAACTCTCAAGGACATTCTTCACAGAACTCAAGAAAAATATACTAAAATTCATATGGAAACACAAAACACTCTGGACACCAAAGCAGCTTTAAGCAAAAAGAGCACAGCTGAAGATCTCAACATTATTCAACCTCACACTATACTATGGAGCCATAGTGATGTAGACAGCATGGTACAGACTTCCAGCAACTGACTAATGGAATGTAACACAGATAACCCCAAATAGTTCTAGACACCTAACTTTTGACAAAGGTAACAACAACAACCTAAATCCACTGGAAAGTAGAAAGCCTTTGAAACAAATCTTGCTTACAAAATTTGGTATCTACTTGCAGAAGAAATTAAATATGTATCTCTCTGCACAAAAACACATTTAAAATGGACCAAAGACCTTGACTTAAACAAAAACCACTTAGAATGTTTAACAAAGAAAAACCACAGGGAAAACACTTCAAGACATATGCCAACTCCTGAACAGAATCCTCACAGCACAGGAAAAAAGCCTCAGCAACTGACAAATGTGATTACATAAAACTAAAGTTTCTGCATGGCAAAAACAAATTATCAGAATTAAAAGACAACGTTCTACAATAAATAAAGAACTGAAAAAAAAAAAAAATCTCCTGCCAATCAATACTGGCCAATAATCTGAACCAAGTTCTCAAAAGAAGAAACACAAACAAGCACTAAACAGTTTTAAACATATTCAACATCAAGCTATCTGAGAAATGCAACTTAAAACTACATTGAGAGTTTACCTCTTGTCAGAATGGGCACAATCAAAAAATAAAAGCAATAAATTCTGGCAAGGATGGACAAAAAGAGGAGCCCTTATCGAGAAAGGCCACTGTGGAAATCAGTATGTTGGTACCTCAAGAGCTAATACAGACTTAGTGATAGGCCCAGCAATACTAACCATATACACATACCTCAATGTTCCATGCATTCTACAGAGATGTGTTTATTCTATTGTTTTCACAAGAGTTACCACATTATAAATATTTTAAAGGCATGAGAATGTTTTTAGAGAAGAGGAAGAAAATGCTGAAGGAAAATATGTTTTAAGAAGGAAATGTTTGGCTCTGTTAACTCTTACTTTGAATGAAAATAAATAGACTGAAAATTGTAAGTTGAGTTGGGCAGTATGGCTTTTACCAGTGGTCTTGTCAAGTACAGTTTCAGTGCCATGATTGGCTTAGAGGAAATTGAGGGACCCAGTGTGGTAGTATACTCTTGTAACTCCAGTCCTTGGGTGGAAGAGGCAGCAGGATGGTTGTAAGTTCAAGGCAGTCTGGTTAACACAGTGTGTTCCAGTCAGGGTTACACAATGAGATACCATTATAAAAAATTAAAAAAAAAAAAAAAAAAAAAAAAAAAACTTCAAACACAAAAAGTCATGGCAGGTAACTTCTAAGAGAGTTGTTATGGTAGGAGTTTTGGGTCACTGACATCTTTCACTCTTTTCAGTCATGTAATTATTTCCTTAAAATTTATCAAGTAATTACTTGATAAAAATATGTAAATGTTATTTATGGTTCTTCCTTATACCCAGACCATCCAGAGTAAATGACTCTTTTCTTGCAGTTGCTATCATTAGGAGCTAGTGTTTAGAATGCTATTTAAAACATTAAAGATTTCATTTCTGAAATGTCTACTTCCCATTGTGTCTTTTCTGAACTCCAAGAGACACAGATAGTGAAATGCCTTTTAAAAACACTTCACTTGGGGTGTTTTAAACATCTCCTGACTTTTAACCTACATAGCTTCTAGGTGTAATCTACTCCTAGTTTTTCAATCTCAAATGCATGGCAGCAGGGGCTAGATAGACAGCTCTAGGCAGTAGGACCACAATACAAACCTGGTAAATGAACTAGCTTGTTGGGATGCCCTATGGTGGGATGCCATGCTCAGCCTTAATGCATGGGAGAGGGGCCTGGCCCTGGCCCAACCTATTGTGACAGACTATGCTGATTCCTCATGGGAGGCCTACTCAAGTAAGGCAAGCATCTTCCCATCAGAAAGATTAATAAAAATAAACCAACAATGTGCTAACTGAAAGTCCATTTCAACAAAAGTAGTTTGTACATCTTACTATAGTATTTCCTACTTGTCTCACTAAATCAACTATACCTTAGTACTCCCTAACTATCTCATTATACCAAATATATCTTTGTATTTCCTAATTGTCATATTATATCAAATACAACTCAGTATTTTCTGTCTCGTGTTATAAAGAAAACACACAAGTTTTTTTTTAATGTTATTGATTTATTTCAAATAGATTTTTAATTCTTCATACTACACTTACCTCTAAAGGATGAAGGTTCCTGAAGAGCATTACTTGCCAGCCTCGCTGGTCCACAGAATACCACAACAGTAACAGGTGTCACTGCTGAACAACACCTGATATTAGCAATTCTATGGGCTCTGGTCATTTCATCATAAATAAGCCAATCTGTGGGTAATGCCTGAATCGCTGCAGCCTGACCATTGGCTGGAGGAATCTATTAAGACAGTTAAAAAAAAAAAAAGTGTTAATTAATTTACTGGGAATACTTTTAAGTTCTTTAATGAAACAGATGACATATATTGGTACTCAAAACTTAAAGCAGGCCATTACTCTTCTGGTTATCAGATTTCTTCACTACTTTTCCAATGTTACCTCTGCAATTTCTAGGATTTAATGTTTTATTACACATATTTTGCAAATTAATTTGCTAAAGCAGAGATAGTTGGAATATTTTTTTATCTTCAACTACCTAAATTTGATTCACCACAAGGTCTAAGAGCATTAAAAATGTTTTACCTTTTTATATTGAGGCTGACTGAGAACTGAAGTGGGATGAAATCGTACTTTTTTTTCCTTTGGCCCTGTCAATACTACATTCTCTCTGTCCACATGGACTAAATTAGGATACATGCCTGCTACCAATGCAGCTTTAACAACGGCCCAGTTCTCGGAGTTTGTGTTAACATCTCGAATGTCACCACCACCTCGTGCTCTAACAAAACCTGGATAGACAAAAAGAGCACAACAACCTTCTCTATTATGCAAAAGGCACTTTAACATTTGTGTACATCTGAAACGAAACTGTAACCTCCTATATATTTAAAAATAGCTAACTTCATGATTAATACAATCCATTCTAGCTAGTGTGAAGTATAAAACTAATAGAGCAAAGTTTAGATGTTCATGCTATATTACGTAGAGTATTTACTGGGACGAGATCTCACTGTGTAATTTCAACTGGCTCTGAATGGATCCTCCTGTTTCAACCTCCTGAACATTTGGGATGTCACTGGATAGCTATTATGCTAGGCTCTATATGCACTTTCTTCAGTAAGCTCATTCATCAGTTGTTATGTTGGTTACCTTTTTCTCAGCCTGACAAAAGCTAGAGTCATCGAAGAGGAGGGAACCTCAATTGAGAACATGCCCCTATCAAACTGGCCTACAGGCAACTTTGTGTGGCATTTTCTTGATTGCTGATTGCCCCAGCCACCCCTCTGTAGGCGGTCCTGTCCCTGGCAGGTAATCATGGATGGTATAAGAAGGTTGAGCAAGCAATGAAGATCAAGTCAGTCAGCAACGTTCTTCCATAGCTTCTGTTGAGTTCCTGCCTGCCTTCCTTTGGTGATAACAACTGTAAACTGAAAGAAGACCTTTCCTCCTCAAGTTACTTTTGATCATGGTCTTTATCACAGCAAAAGAAACCAAATTAAGACAACTACTACTATAAACATTCTCCAAGTTCACAACTTGAAAACCAAATCATTCCTTTTACTTCTAAGCTTTCATTTTCTCAGACACCAACTGTAGAAGTATAGTCAGGTGCTATATGCTTAAACTTCAAAAATCATATTTCCCCATATTTAAAACAAATATAAATTCTCAAGTCTGGTTTCCTTGAATACTTTGGCTAACCTATAAGTCCAGATTCTGATACTACTGTCACTTCAGTTAACTGTTATAAAGAAAAAACAAAGCCACGAACAACAAAAACCTTCAAAGAGGTAATTCTAATAGAAAACAATAGCATTAGAATCTTCTCAAAATAGAAAGAGGTACCTTCAAGTTATTATCAATCATTTTAGTGTCCTAAACTATACACACAGTTAGCCCTACCAATCTACTTAAGTTCTTATAATTGCTATTTTATAGAACTAAATAATTTCTGGTTGAAAGAGGCAAAAGTAAAACTAACATCATACCTAAATTGATCTTTAACAAAGGATATAAATTGCTTACTGCCAACAGTATCAAAAGAGTTTACAGACTATGCCCATATAGCTTACTACTACAACCTGTGTAATGTTCTATTTCATCACTAATAAAAAGTCCAGAAGATAGACAAGGGTACACATCAGAATACAGACACATAATATGATATAAAAACCACAGAAACGGGCATCACTTTAAGTCTAGAAACATGAAGGATACGCAGATGTTCTACATAGGAAACCTTACCTGATGCTCTAAGCTGACCAAGCAACTGTGTTCTCATGCCTATAATGATTTCCATCGTGGCTTGTGAGAGAAAATTCTTTTCACAAAAGGCTCGCTCCCAGCCATCACTTCGTGCTTTCTGCCATGCCTACAAAAACAGAATATGTACAAGACATATTTACCAATCACTCCTCAGTGAGATAACAAAGGAATGTCACTATATCAATCACTAAAAAGCTAAAGTGTTATTCTAATAATTTTATAAAACATCTAATATTTTATAATCAAATTAGACTTGTCATTTAGTTTATATACAACTGCTATCATGTTAACTGAGTTTACAAAATTCCAATGAGAATTGAACACCAAGTGACTCAAATGAAGAATTATCCTCATAGATACAGTTTTTGGCTGGTATAGATAGCTAGTTTTATTACACATGAGAGGCCTTCCAGTTATATTTTCCATTAAAATGCTTTTATATATAGGAATTCTGAAACTCCTAGTAATAGTAATAACAATAACAACCTCTGTGCTACTCTCTCAACTGACTGGAAATAAAAAGTGGGATTTTGAGGCCTAGAAAGATGGCTCAGTGGTTGAGAGCACCGTCTGCTCTTGGAGGTCCTGAGTTTAATTCCCAGCAACCACCGGTGGCTCAGAATCATCTCTAGTGGAATCTGATGCCTCTTCTGGCAAAAAGTCACACATGCAACTAGAACACCCACATACATAAAATAAATATATTGGCTTTTTTGTTTTGTTTTGTTTTTTTAAGTGGGATTTCTAAAAATCATACAATATAAAAATCTGGCCTTTGAAAATATGCTGTCCTGGCTTGGAGCATAATTAAAAGATAGCTCCATCTTATCTCATCATCTTTCCAAAAAGCTGGAAAGAACATAATGCAGGGATTCTCCTCCAGATTTCTGATTATTACTTAAATATCTATAATATATACTATCTAATATATGAACTGAACAACCCATCATTCAATGATAATCACAAAGGAGCTTGCAATTATTTAAATTACATATATTGAGAAAATACTGAATATCTGAATAAGTGCTTTCCACCAAGAAATGCAAGACTATAGAGAAAGGCACAGCCTCTTGTCAAGAAATTAGAAGAATTAAAAACAATATTTTTAAGAAAGAATGTATCTTTTCCTACATATCTGAATTTCTAAATTACATTCCATTTCTCAGAAGCTACTTCCATCTTATCATTTTCTTTACTCAATATCTCACTATTTTTAAGTTTTAAATCATCTTCTTTTGCTTTACAAAATTAAATTGTTGGCATGGTGTCCTGAGTGCAAAAGAAAAAGAAATACTGTAAAAAATAAGAATTTACAAAAACTAAATTGAAGATGTTCTAACAATCTTTGTTCCGTGTCCTCTCTCTACATAGCAAACAGACATTCTAAAGATTATTTCTCAATCAAGTCATATGTATAGGTACATATACATATAATACATATGTATGTATATATGCATATATATATAGCCAAATTAGGAGTAAATAAATAGCAGTGACAAAATAGAGACAAATTGGTCATGTTAAACTATAAGGAGCAATCAGACATTTTTTAAAAAATATTTTTCTTTTTTTGATATTATAATATAGTTACATCATTTCTTTTGTTCCTTTCTTCCCCCAAACTCTCCCATACTACTCTTCTTGCTCTGTTTCAAATTCATGATACACACACACACACTCTCTCTCTCTTAAATATTTCCTGCTCTGTCTGTCTATATAATGTTACTTTAAGTATGTTTTCAGGGCTGACCATTTGGTACTGTAATCAATTGGTGTGCTCTTCCCTGGGAAAGAATATTTCTCCCACCTCAGTATTCCTTAGTTGCCCATAGTTCTTTATGTAGGATGTGGCTTATGGTCTTTTCCCTATCTATTTCTGCTCTATTGATAAAATGTGACTTCTGAGACTAGAGAGACAGCTCAGCAGTTAAGGGCATTTGTTGCTCTTGTACAGGACCTAGGTTTAGTTCTAAGCACTGACATGGTGGTTCATTAACACTCCGTAACTCTAGTTCCAAGGTATCAACCCTTCTGATGTTCTCAGATACCAGGTACACACATGATGCACATATATGCATGCAAGAAAAACATAAAAATAAATCTTAAATATAAATAAATAAAATATGACTTCCTAAGTAATTTTTTATTGATTTTTTTTACTTGTGCCAGAGTGTATTTAATGCAGCATGTTTAGCAATAAACAAAAGTAATAGTACCTGGAATGCTCTGAGAAGTGCCATGTGGTCACTGAAAGTCCCCGCAGTGAAACGCTTCCTACAAAGCATAGCTGCACGCTTTTGAGAGGCCTGGGTAGGCAGTACAAAAGGGTCGCGATAAGCTAGAGTGCAGGCAATTGTAAGGATGGGGTCCAGACACTTTAAAACAACAGCACACAGGACCATTTTACCAAGATGTGGTTCTACTGGCAAATCAGCCAAATGATACCCAAGCTCAGTCAGATCTTCCCACGCATCCATTGCATCTATTGTCTAAAGGAGGGAAAAAAAACCAACAATTTGTCATAACCGAAAAATGATACTTAAATTAATATCTCATTAAGTATAAAATAACACAAATAATTATTTTGCTGTCACATCAAATAAAAATACATTGTGCATTAAATATATACATATGAGCTGGAGAGATGGCTCATTGGTTAAGAACACTGGCTACCCTTCCAGAGGTCCTGAGTTCAATTCCCAGCAACCACATGGTGGCTTACAACCATTTATAATGAGATCTGATGCTCTCTTCTGGCATGTAGGCTCTATGTATAGATATATAAAATAAATAAATATATACATATATAATAACTATATTTGCCACTATAAATTATAAGATTACTACTTAAAGTCCTCTTCAATTAACATTTTTTAAAAGAACAAATCATTTAAAAATATATGCTCACTCTGCTTTAATTTTCCCACTGGAGAAACAAACAAGTAAAAGAATTAAAATACTAACCTTAAGCATCTGAACAGCATTTCTTACAATTAAAGCTGGAGGCGGTTCTGGAGCTTTCATAAGGAAGTCGGCAATGGTACAATTAACTGGGGCTAACAGCTTAGTATGTAAACAAAGCTCCTGTAAACCATAAGAGCAAAAGACTTAGAAAAAGTAAAAGTCTAGCACTGACTTTTAAAGAAACCTTGAGAATAATTTCCCAATCCCAGCCTAGCAAAGTCTCAGAGTCAAAGGAATAGGAGAAACATCTTCAATGGAACACATGCCTGAAACACCCTCAATCAACTTATCCCAAAATGAACACTGCCCCCTCTGGCAACATTTTCTCACACAGTTTTTACCCACAAAACTTACAGTCACTATTCAAACAGTAAGTCACTTTTCTCCTAATATGCTCACTTCATTCTATCATCTTTTTCCTGCCACAAGTCAGAGAAAGAGAGGACAGTGCCTGCTCTTTTGGAGTTTACAGGAGTTAAGTAAAACTGTGCTAAGTGCTATGAAGGATAATGGGTGCCATGTAGGGTGGGAGGATAAATTATAATCAAGTTCCAGCAAGAGCAGGAGGAGTCAAAGACAGTTTCCTAGAAGAAGACACCTACACTAAGATGTAAAGAGTAGGAGAAATTTAGCATAAAAAAAAAAATAAAGGAAAGGAATTTGGAAATGAGTTAGCACATTAAAGCAAAAGATATACAGAAAAGAAATAAATGTAACTTGAAAAGCAGCACTAAACCTGGTATGAGTAGAAACATGAGGATGGGGGGGGACAGGAAACATGAGTTTATTTAGTAATTTAGGTTCTAATAATTTTTAATTATATGTAAAAGGAATAGAAAATTTTACGAAGAGTTCTGTTGGGCTTTGGACAGACACAGCACTGAATGTATAAATTTATAAAGACCATTCATTCAGCTATGCATTAGAGAAGTCATTTCACTTGGTCAATCTTTTTTGCAATGTCTTTCAACGTACAAGTTTTTTTTTGTTTGTTTGTTTGTTTGAGGCAGGGTCTCACTGTGGACACTGGGAATAGGAAATCACCACAGGGATATGGATCTCAAAACATGATTCTTTATCCCTTGAATGATTGGAGGCAAGCATCTAGGCTAAGAGACTAAGGAAACAAAGCAGGGGGAGGGATAAGGGGGGGTAGGCTGGAGAGATGGCACTGTGTTAAAAGCCCTTGATGCACTGTAGTGTTAAAGGCCAAGTTCCTAGCACTCATGTCAGGTAGTGGGCATACTCATATACAAATTCACAAACATGCAAGCAAAATAAGGATTAAGTAAATCTTTTAAAATATAGACTCAAACTGATTTTCTTCTAGTAGTTTTGCATGAGGTCAGAAAACTAAAATGAAAAACAATAAAAGTTTGGATCTCAATGAATGCAGTTTCAAAATTACAAAGGCAGAGGCTCAGCATTCCACACTATATTAGCATTACCTTTTACAACTTAAATAATTTGCAACTTAAATAATTTATATCCAGAATTTCCAAATTCCATACCATGTATTTAAGACAAAATGCTACAACACAGAGGACAGAAGGGGGTAAGGGAGAGAGAAAGGACTCCATAATTTAAATGTACTCCAGTAACTTTAACATTTGAAGGTTTGGTAAGATTTGTATAAAGAAAAATCTTTTTTATGCATATATCCTCCTTCATAAAATTTAACTTAAGATTTTATTTTGTAAATTGATTAATTCAAGGCCAGTCTGTAGAAACTAAAATGGAAGCTGTCCCCTCTCACCCACAGACAAAGCCTAGAGCTGTAGAACTACCTGCAACGGCATTCTCAAGAGTTCTGGAGTCTGAAATTCCAGCATATTCTGAAATCGGAGTCTACTAAAGAGGCGGAAACAAATTCCAGGTCTACATCTTCCAGCTCTTAAAAATAAAACACAAAATTCAGACTCACATAAGGAATAAGGAAAATAATAATGGAGCTATAAATTAATGTGACTTAGGAGACCAAAAAACTAATCAAGATCAAGATATCTGAGTTCTAATCCTTATTTATCCTCTATGAATACTTTCTGACGACATTTTGTGCTCTGGGGCTCAATATTATCAATTTACTGAGCTAGATTAAAAAACAGTAAATACCTTCTATAGTTACAGATAAAAAAAAATCACAATTAGTAACACAAATTTGAGATCAAGTGAAATTCAAAGCATAAATGTTTAGTAATTTCAATTTAATCAATTTCTCTGAGATGTCATCAGGCTCTATGCTCAGGCCCACTAATTACAGTTGTATAAATTATGAATTACATAACAGCATAGGACTGGCATTTATCACAGTGCTATATAGTTTCCTGGAAAGCATAAGAAAACATAATGACATAACCTCTTAATTCTTCTAATTAGGGAAATAGCTAATGTCAGGATAAATGACAGAGGTATGTCCTACTTTATGGCACTCAAAACCCAGAAACCATAAAGCTGGAGGGAGGGATGGAAGAAGGGTGGAAGGGAGGGAGGCAGGGAGAGATGGAGTTTCCCCTACCTCCACTCCTCCCAGTCTTCATCACCCCTCACCAGACCTCCCCTCTCCTCCTCTATTTCATTTTAAAAAAGTAGGCTTCCCAAGGATATCAACCAATAACAAATTACAATAAGGTTAGGCACAAATCCTCATATCGAGGTTGGCAGAGGCCACCCAGTAGGAGGAAAATGATCCCAAACACAGGCAAAAGCATCAGAGATAGCTCCCATTCCCACTGTTAGGAGTTCTACAATACCAAGCTATACAACAATAACATATATGCAGAGGGCCTGCCTCAGACCCTTACAAGCTCTAGAACCACTTTCTTCATCGACTACTTTCCAACAACATGTTCGAATTTTCTATCCAGTCAGCCTCCTCTGGAATTTCTATCCTTTGCCCATACCTTAAATGCTGATGTCTCTTTGAGACTGGATCACAGTCCTCTGCTCTTCTCCATACACTATCATCACATCATCTGAGGTGATCTTAATTGTCCTCTATCTTCAATTGCCATCCATCCTAAATCCCCTGATGGTAATTTTCACCACCTTCTTCCAAACTAAATTATATAAACAACCTTCCTACTCATTTTGTCCCACAGTCCTATCTGACTGTTCCTTAACTTTTCAGGAATACCTTTCCATGGTTCCCCTCTTATCTTTTTTTTCCCCTTAAATTCACTCATAACTCCTCTAAATCCATAACCCAGTTATAGTAAATAGTACTATTGATACTTCAACATGGATTATAGCATGTATTTCATCTTAAAATTAACCTACTCTACTTCAGTCCTTACTATTAACCCAACACTTCACAACAAAGGTTGCCAACCAATATGCATGGAAAATACAACTAAGATTTACTCTGATTTCTGACCTATAATAATATACAATTAATATTATAAATCAACTCAATGTATCAAGAACATTTTGTAATAAAGAGAGCAGCCTGACATAATTATAACAATGTCTGAGTCTATGGAGTTATACAGCACAGAAATCATGCCTTAAAGCCTTAAATATACAAGATATCTTTTCTTTTGGTAGTTTTGAGTCAGGACACACTACACAGTTCAGTTTGTCCTTGAGCTAGCAATCCTTTTGTCCATATCTTCCACCTGCTGCCATTGCAGGAGTGGTCATGTAACTATACCTGAACATTCCACTATTGATGGACACTACCAGTTCCCAGATCTTCAATTATAATATTGAAAGAACAATCTTAAAAACATCTTCACATACATGTAATAAGTAAAATTAGGATATACTGTAAGACATGGATTACATAGTAAAGCAGAGACTTAGAAGTATTTTTAATTTAGCCTCTGAAGAATTCATACCAATATACATTCCCATTAGCAAAATATCTGAGCCAATATTTTTGCCTCTATGTTCTACATTCTATAAAACAAGTTCATTAGTCTCAGACTAATAAAGAAAAATCATAGTACTTCATTAATTTGCATTTATTTTGGTACATATGAGGTGAAAATGTTTTTGAAACTGTTCTTTGCAATATTATGATAAAGGATCTAGGACCTGGGTAGTGTTCCTCAATAGTGAATGTTCAGACACAGTTATCCCACTCCTGCAATGGCAGCAGCTGGGAGATACAGATGAAAGGATTTCGCTCTAGGACAATATGTGAAGCAATGCATTAGCAGGACATGTACAGTATCTATTTTGATAAACTATTTTGACCTTTACTAAAAATATTTTGATTATAAGGATTTTATTTGTATACTAAAGAAATTATTCCTTTGTCCTATATTTTAAATGTTCATAATTTTTGCTTCCTCTAAACATCTTTTATCTTAGCATGAATTACACAATAATTTCAATTTTGTTTTAAATTTTTATTAGTTGAGTTTCATTTAATGTTTTTTGACCACACACACACACACACACACACACACACACACACACACACAGTTTCTCAGATCCATTTCCACTACCCTGTCTACCCAACCTTGTTTAAAAAAAACAAAAACAAAAAAACTTTCAAGATCAATTTGTGCTGTCCAAATAGTTTCAGATGTCTCATCTTCCACCAACACATGGTAAACTTAGTAGAAGCTACACGCTTCAAGAAAACTATCTCCCTCTCCCAGCAGCTAACAACTGTCAATAGTTCCACAGATACAAGCGAGATATGTGCTTTAACTCCCATCCTCTCCCTTCATGCTGGGATTTGGTCTCATATGGGCTTGCAAAATAGCCTACATTTTTATTTATTTTTCTTATTTTACATATCGATCCCAGTTCCCTCTCTGTCCATCGATCCCAGTTCCCTCTCTGTCCATCCTTCCCTCTCTTCTACCCTCCCATGCCCCCCAACCACCCTCCCATCTCATCCACCCCCCACACTCCACATGTAGGGTGATGCCTTCCTGGATGGGTCATCTAAATCTGTCAAGTCATTTAGAGTTGGGACTAGACCTTCTCTCCTGTCTCTAGGTTAAAGGAATATCCCTCCATGGGGAATGTGCTCCCAAAGTCCTTTTCTGCACCAGGGATACATCCTGGTTCCATTGTCAGAGATCCCTTAGACTGCCCAGGCCTTCTAACTGTTCAGAGGGTCTGAGTCAGTTCAATGCTGGATTTCCATCTATCAGTCTGGGGGGCCCATTAGCTCCTCCTTGTTCGGGTCAGCTGTCTCTGTGGGTTTCTGTAGCCTGGTCGTGTCTTCCCTCTCTGCACTGGATTCCAGTTCGGAAAATAGCCTAAATTTAACTTTTGAAAAAGTATCAGTGAGATGGTGCAGGGGTTAAAGGCACTTGTCACCAAGCCCAAAACCTTAGTTCTATTCTCAGGAACCACATGGTAGAAGGGAAAACCAATTCTTGAAAGGTATCCTTTGAATGCCACATGTGTGCCATAGCCTCCCCTGCCACATACAAAATAAATAAATTTAAAATAAATTTAAATCTTTTTAGTTAATTAATTTTAAAGTACTGAAACAATTTGCTTGGCAAAGAGAGTATAAAATTAAAACTAACATGAAGCTCACATATAAAAGGAAAAATAAACTATAAATATATAATACATGATAATATTACTAACTCACAGGCAATGAAATGAATATACATTATGCATGTAATTATAACATAAAATGTACATTACCTGCCTTTCCGCTGTATGGCACTAGCTTTGGAAATCCATACCATTTTTAACATTGTAACAAAATTTAGTGCATCAAAGGATTTCTGTAATGTATAAATCATCTTTATGTTACAACATGATTGGTACTAAAGAGGAAATAGATATTATCAACATATTTTAACATGCCAAGTTAAATATAAATCTCCCTCTTGATTAATTAGAAGAAATGGATTCTTTTTTGTTTGTTTGTTTTTATTTTCTTGTTTTTAAATCCTAACCAAAGCTTCCCCTCCCTCCCCTTTTCCCAATCTCCTCACCTCTTCTCCCCAACCTGTCCACCCCTTCTCTGCTGAAGAAACTGATTCTTAAAAACTCAGATTTGCTGGTTATAAATGCTGTGCTTTATGGAACTGTCTTCAGTTCTCTCCTACAATTTAATAACAACTGATTCTCACAAGACACCAAGACTTTATCACAACATCAATATGGCTGCCTAGACATGACCAGAACAAGGATGACACCAATGGATATCCTAACATGAAAGAGGCAAAGCTTGCAGGGTCTCAACCCTAGAGAAAGAACTACAGGCAACTGGGGAATGCTGAGAGCAGAAGAAATAGTCTTTCTTGAGCAAAACTACACCAGTTAGTTATCCAATATCAAGTGATCAGTCCTGAGATCACATGAATACAGGTTATATTATACACATGGAGCAAGCTAGATTTATATATTTAGGAATATAGTATAAATAAATAACAAAGAAAAAGAGGACATCCATTTTAATTAGCAAGAGAGAAACAAAGGATCAGAGGGAGATAAGAGAGGGAATGATGCTATTATTCTGTCAAAAAATAAAAATAATTATAAAAAACAAAACAGTATAAAATGCAAAAATAGGATTCTCTGGTGATTATTTTCTATCACATTCACATCATTCTAAGCACTAGGAATGACTAGAAAAAAAACATTTACCAAAATATTTCTCAAGGAGTAAAGCTTGAGTAATAATTACCAAACTAAACACCTCAAAGTAAAGTATTTTTAGCCCTTGCTACTTAACATCCTACTTAGTTACCAAGAAATTAATCTTCCCTGAATGTCTCAAAGGAAAATATAATCATTACTAACACTAGACTTCCTCAAAAAGCCTGAAGTGGAAATCTGTCATAGAGGAAATGGTTTTAAATACATTTCTAAGCAGAATATATACTTCAAGCATTCAGTGCTCTTGCTTTGCATAAAATTAGTTATACAGAACACTTATAAATGTATTCTCTAATAGGTTTAGTCTTCCTTGAGAAACAATTATCTCTATCATTTGATCTACAAAAAGTTAATGGCACTGGGAATTATGTTGATACTAAAAGGAAACGAATATTATCCCTTATTTATTAGAGAAGAAAAATATTTGTAAAGGGCCCAGGAGTAAAGAGTTTATGCTTTGAGGTCTCTATTGCAATTTACGAAAGGCTACAGTTGTATGAAAGCATCAACAGACAGTAGATGAAAGAATAGGAAAAAAAACTCGTTTTTGCACAAAGCCAGGTAGTGATTTGCATTGCTGGCTAAATGTGGTGATGTTCAACCTAATTTATGTCTGTTGGTTTTGTATGCGTGTGTCTGTGAATGTGTAAATGTGCATCTGGAAGCCCAATTTTACAGCACACATCTTTCTCAATTTCTAGGATTTTGTTTTCCTTTGTTAATCAAGGTTCTCTTTATCTAAATGCCTATAAATACTATATGTGAGACATTAGCTTCTATCAATGGACAAAAGGGATACAACCCATCCACACATATAAGAGGAAAACATACAATATGTAATCAAATTGCCACAATGTGACAAATTTTTATTGTGTTGTTACTTAAACTCTTTATTTTCTTACTAATAGTTAGTAAATAGCAGTGAATCTTCTTGTCTAATTTGTTGGAACACCAAAATATATTCCACATACTAAAAATAAGGTAGAATAGTTTAGTGAAACAAAATTTATTGTGCTAAATTCATCTATAAAGAAATTTGCAACTAAAATGACGTCTTTTATTATAATAGCTGTTGGAATGGAACTCAATCTTCTTCATTTGGTACAAATATACCTTATTCATACATACCTCTTTCACTTTACCAGAATCAATAACAAACACAACATCATTGACAGTGATACTTGTTTCAGCAATATTGGTGGAAAGAATCTGCAATGGAATGTTATTTTATTAGTATGAAAATAGATCAATGAATAACAAAAACAGAACATAAAAGATCTTATGATGCTTACTATTTTTCGGACACCTGCAGGTGGATTTTTTAATACCTTCTTTTGATCAGATGTCTGCATATTTGAATGAAGCATAAAGACTTGATATCTGTTTATAATTAAAAAGAGAAAATGAACTATAGAACTTGTCTGTTAGTTTAAGCAGCAAGTACAAAGCTTTATAGCTTACCTATGTGTATTGTCAGCAAACCGCTTGTCATCAAACAGGATACGATCCCTCAAACCAACAATTTCATCATATCCAGGTAGAAAAATTAATATTGCACCTTGGAGAAGAATATTTTTAGTATTTAATCTTGTGAAATCAGACACAATCAACAAAACTAATTACAAAGAATAATATGATGTGATTTTACACATTGGTACATGATTATAAAAGAACTACTACTCACATATTACTACCAATTGAATTACAGAAAAACCTGACAACTAAATGTTAATTTTTCAACACAGTTTACTCCAATTCTTTCAGACAATACTTACCAGCATCACAGCTATGGCAGATATTGTATAGAAGATGCATGATCAAATCTAAGTCTACTTTTTCATCATCAAAACTATGATGGTAAGCTTTCAGCAGCTCTCTGTCTTCTGCACTGAGGTCATTTCCATTTGTTTGCACCAAAGAACTTTCATCTAGATTTCCAAATTCCAATGAAGCACTAAGAAAAATACCAAGTCAGTTTTTATTTAAAAGAGAAACACTTAAAGACTAAGGTTTCCCATTATTTCCTCTGAATTTCCCATATGCCCTAAGGAAAGTGTCCCTTAATGTACAATCTATAGTTAATTTCTGTGTTGGTTGCAAGCATCTTTTTAAAGTTAAAATTTGAGAAGTGATAAATTTCATGAGAAAAATCACAGTCTGAAGATACTTTATCAAAAAAATTCACTAATGACTTAGAAATATATCAAAATACTTAGCATCATCTGTCACTAAGGAAATATACATCAAAACCACAATGGCACTATTCCACAATCAAAAGGAAGGCTATGGTCAAAAAGATAGTTAAGTGATGGGGATGGTGAAGAAATACCACAACGTTCCTAGAATGATTATAGACTAGTACAGTAATTTGGGGACACTGTGGCAGTTCTCTGAAATACAATGTTTACTTCATCCCCTAGCAATTCCACTCCTAGGTACAGATGGAAGAGAAATGGAAATAGACGGGTGGGTAGATAGATAAACCGATAAATAGATAGGTAGGGAGGTAAGTAGATTGATAGAAAGGAAGAAGGAAGAAGGAAGGAAGGAAGGAAGGAAGGAAAGAAGGAAAGAAAGAAAGAAGAAAGGAAGGAAGGAAAGAAGGAAAGGAAAGAAGATAGAGTTAGGTAACTGCATTAACTGTCAATTTAAAGATCTGTGTTCATATTCATAATAGCCAAGAGTGAAAATAACCCAAATATTGATAATTGACAAATGCATAAACTATGGCATATCAACAGAAGGGAATACTGGTTGGAAATAAAACACATAAACTTTGAAGTAAGTAAAAGAAAAGAGAAAGTTACAAAAGACTATATTATATGGCACTATTACATAAAATGCCCAGAACAAAGTTATAGAAAGAGGAAACCAATTAACAGCTATCCTAAGAACTGGGAGAGTTAAATGAAAAAGAAAGTAAGTACTGATGGCACCATTTTTTATATGTGAAAAAAATCTTCTAATACTGACTGTGTAACACTGTGAACATTAAAATAATGCACTGAAATGTGAATCATATTGTATATGCAATATTTCAATAAAACTTTATTTTACAAAAATAGCATTATATTTTTCTTAATAGATTATTTATAATTGCTTAATATTATAAACAATGATGATGATGATAATACCTCTATTTATAATTCTATACTTAAACATATTACTTATGTGGTTTTTCAAAAGTCAAAATCTGGATAAATTACTGAAATAATTTGCTTCTTCGTTATATGTATAAAAATATTAACAATAGCTATCATTAAAAATTATTGATGTGCCTTTTAGGAAGTCAGTTTTGCTCAGGTCTCCTCAGTGCAGTGCTCAAATACAAAAAGTAAACAAACAAGATTGTTTCCAATAGGGGAAATACAACTTTTTAAGTGAAGTATTTTGAATCTCCAGTTTTGTTTAAAATTATTTTATTGCTTCAAGTCAACAAATAAATGAACACATATTTTTGTTTAAAGATGTAAGATTTCACTAATAGTTTCAATAATCTAGCAAACATAATAAACTTGAATATATATGACTTTCTTAGAAGGGTCCTAGAGCTCAAAGTCTGGTCCTTATTCTTGCCCAGTAAGTACATGACTGAGTCATCTCCCCATTCTCAACACACCACATTTAAGTAGAAATCTCCCTTCCAATTTTTCAAAATGTTTAAAGAGGTAAATATAGTACAATATTCCTTATTAACAATCTGAGGAAAATTATTTTATAATTACAAAAATAAATCTGTGGGTAAAAGACTATAAGTAGCTTACCTATTACAGAATCTATGATTTACATGGCTAAGATTTTTGAAAAAATAGATTTAATTTTAAATAGTGTAAGGTTTTACCTATAAGATTCTAGAAGATCCACAATTTCAGTCTGTCCAAAGTGCTTAGCCCAATCTAAAGCCATCCTATAAAATTCAAAGATATCAAACTGAGAAATAATTTGTAAATTTGCAATTACAAATTTCAAATTACAATTTCAAATTATAAATGTTTCAAAATTACATGACCAGTCAGTCAAACTTATTTATTTACTCATTAGAGATGCACTTATAATTATTATATAATAAACTTTAAAATAGGGATAATCGTAAGAATTTTTAAAAAGGTATGTGCAACTATATCATGACATACAAAGAATAGATACAATCTAAAATTACCAGCCATTTGATGCTTTACTGTGGACATTGGCTCCCATACTAATTAACTGCTCTACTTGGCTTGTAAAACCCCGTCCTGCAGCAACCATCAGAGCTGTTGCACTGGTCTCACTATGCCTATAATCAACTAAAAGAAGAAAAAGATGAAATGTTAAATGTCCAAATTTTAAAGACCTTCATTGTTTCAATTAAGTAGCAGAACTAACTTAACTAACCTGGGACTTGTTCCTTCATTTTAAATGACAGCAATATTATTTAATCTTTAACTATGCCATTCAAAAAGAAATCCAAGATGCTCTTGTATAAACAGGGTAGAATAAAGACTATCTTTGAAGGGATAAGAAAAAGATTTACTCTATAATTAAGAAAAAAGCTATTGACTTGCAGAACATTTATATAATAATTTTTAATCTACATGTTGCCATGTCCACTCAATAACAAAATATATAAAGAATTTAAAAGTTAATTTTTCATCAATAACTAGCAATAAATGCTTTAAGACTTCAGGCAAATTTTTAAATTTTTTTCTTCATATGACTTAAGACACTATAATACTAAACTCAAGGAAATAAAGGAAATAAAAACTCAGGAAGAGTTGGATGACCATTATCAAAATAATCTAGTTAATCAACAGAAAAACCAAAGAAGACAGTCAAGAGTCATTGTTAGGTATTTAAAATACTTTATCAATATTTTAAAGCAGTACTTTCAAAGCAGATTTTAAATCTATAAACTTTCACATAAGATTACTAAATTATGCAGAATGCTGAAATAATGGAAAAAACAGATATGAGAAAATATATCTGTTTCAAAACAAAATTATTTCTTGAAATAATTTTGTAAAAACATGGTGAATTTTAAAAATGTATATCAATAGAGGCCAACATTTACAATGAACAAGAAATCCTAAAAGGTCATTTTAATGAAGAGCTCTGTTGACTAGTTGATGTACAGGATTATGACTTAATAACCACACCCAAATATTAACCTAAATTCTGTTACCAAATTAGTTGACCCAGCCTCACTAAATTAATAAACCAAGAAAGCTCATAACATAAGGAACGGGACTTTTTAAAAATTGTTTTTAAAACAGGACAAATCTACCTATAAGATGAAATCCTTGAGGAATAAAAGGCATTTTTTACACTTAAAATAATTCAAAACAACAAATACAAAACAGAAGTAAATGTAATGAATTTCCATGTTTAAAACATGAACTGGAATTTTCAGAAACACTATGACTCAGCAAGGCAGTGCAGTAGGTTTGATTAATATATATAAAAATAGTAATTAAAATTAATATATGTAAAAATAGTAATTAAAAAAGAATAAAAACTTTTAAGCTCAGAACATGTGCCTTTATTTTTTTTTTTTACATTTATTTACTTATTTATTGAAAGACACATGGCATGGCACTGGTGTGAAGATCAGAGGATAACATGGGAGGAGTCAGTTCGCTCCTTCAACCATGTGGTCTTGGATCAAACTCACATCCTTTGGGCTTACAGGAAGGCCCTTTATCCACTGAGCCATCTCCTCAGTCCCTGCTATACACTTCTTGAAAGAGTTCATAAGCTAAAATATATCCAAAAGTGGTACAAACCAGGAAACTGAGGGACTAGATCACATGTTATGCTAGAAAATATCCAACAAAGAAAAAGTGGTGAAATAAAACAAGAATGGTCAGTTGAAAAAAGCTGAAAAGGAAAAACTCTCTGTCATACATAAACACATCCTAAATCTCTTATCACACCAGAAGCAGAAAAGGACGGAAGGTATGCATGTGAGAAACATATGTCGATTCAATATATTAACAGACAATTGAAAAACACCCTCAAGTAAGAATACTGCAAAGTGTGGTGATGTCCATATTTAATTCCAGAACTTAGAAAGATAAGGTAGGAAGATCACCAGTGTAAAGCCAGGCTGTTTTACAAAGCCAGTTCCTCTTCAATAAGCAAATACACAAGAAAAAAGAAGAAAGGAAAAGACAGGGGCAAGAAGCTTCCTGTCACCTTCCATATTAGACATGGGCATTTGGTAAAAATGATTAAAGGTAGGGTCCCCCTCAACTGAAGAATGGATAAAGATGTGGCACATCTACACAATGAAATACTACCCTGAAGAAAAAAAAAATAATAATGGAATCTTAAAATTTGCAGGCCAAGTGGATGGAACTTGAAGAAACCATCCTGATGAGAGGAACATGGTATACTCACTCATATATGGATTTTAGACCTAGAGCAAAGGATCACCAGCCTATAATTCACACCGCCAGAGGAACTAGGATACAAGGTGTATTCTAAGAGATTCATATAAGGTCCCTCACAGAAGGGGGAAGGGACAAGTCCCCCAGAGTACATGGGAAGTGGTGGTGGGGGCAGTGAATGGAGACAGAACTAGGAGAAAGAGAGGGGGAGGAGAGGAAAGCACATGCGACTAGGAAGATTGAGTCAGGGTAGGAATAGAAGACAGAAGAGAGAGAGAGAGAGAGAGAGAGAGAGAGAGAGAGAGAGAGAGAGAGAGAGAGAGAGAGAGAGAGAGAAAACAAACATAAAAGAGGGAGCCATTATTGGTTTGAAGAGAAACTGAAACTAAAGAAAGGTCTAGAGACCTACAAGACTGCCACCAACTAACAATTTGAGCAACCGTGGAAAGGCTACTGTAAATGCCCTTCCTGGACAGTGAGATCAACAACTAACTTATCCACCATCATGGAGCCCTCATCTAGTACCTGTCAGAAACAGAAGCAAACACCCATAACTAAACACTGAGTCTAACTAGAATCCAGATGCAGAGAGAGAGGACAAGACCAGGTTGCAGAAACACATAGAGACAGCTTGCCTGAACAAGGAGGAGCTAACCGGCCCACTAAACTGATAGCTGGGAATCCAGCATGGAACTGACTCAGACTCCCTGAACATGGGTCTCAGCTAGAAGGACTGAGCAGTCTAAGGGACCTCAGACAGTGGAACCAGGATATATTCCTGGTGCACAAAAGAACCTTGCAGACACATCCCCTATGGAGGGAGACTCCCTTAACCTATAGACAGGAGAGAAGTCCTAGTCCCTACTTCAATTGACAGATTTACATGACCCCACCTGGATGACATTGGAATGGGAGTGGGGGGATGGGAGGGGAGGATGGTCAGGGTGCATGTGAGGTGGGGAGAGGGTAACAGGGAGGGAGGAAGGGAGAGAGGGAGGAAGGAAGGGAGAGAGAGGGAGGGAGAGGGAACTGGGATCAACATGTAAAATAAAAATAAATAAATAAAAAATAATAAAGGTAGGATCATTGAACAAATATTTGATCACCTATTGTGAACCCTGTGAACCAAGAGAAGAGTAAAGCAGATAAGGCTTCTGCCCTCACAAAGGTTACATTCCAGTGTAAGATGAGTAGTGAACAACAGCAACAGCAGCAACAATGATAAATGACAAATGACCAAAATCAATTTTAAAAAAAGCAGATTAACAAGATAGTAAGAAAAGGGTACAGTTTTATTTACCAGAAAAGGCCTCTATGAGAGGCAATAATAACCAGAGGCCTAGATGAAAGAGGCCACTGTCAGATTCTGAAGTCAGGATTCCACATAAAACTAAAAGAAAAATAATAAAGGCTGAGAGACAGGAATGTATCAGCACATAAAAGAAAATCAGGTCCAGTGAAAAAGCTTAGTAGGGAAAGATTGCCTACCCGGCCTGAGCTGAAAACTAAGATTCATTCCTAGAACTCATATGGAGGTAGGAAAGATCCAACTCCTGCAAGTCATTATTGACCTTCACACATAACCCAGGGCACATGTGCCACCAAATACACGCATAAATGAACTATATAAAATGTAGTAAAAATATTAACAAGAAAGCAACAGTGCACAAAAAGGAGAGTGGTGGCAAGTAAGGCTGGGAAGGCAGCAGAAGCCTCTGGATCAGCTACTTTTCACTCACTATGATCCAGCACCTGACAGGGAGCAAGTTAAGGGAACAGAGGTTTATTCTGGTTCATGGCTTGTGAGTTGACAGCCCATCCTGGAGGTGAGGACTTGGCAATGGCAGTGGCTGATGGGTGTGGTGGCAGAAGCATGAGACCACTTGCTTACACCTTACAGATCAGAAAACAGCACCACAGGAGGCAGGGCTGCCCTATAAAAGCCTCAAGGCCCACCCACAGTTGTCCACTCCCTCCAGCAAATTCTGCCTCCTAAAGCTTCCAACTGTCTTGAGGAAGCGCTACAAGCAGGAACCAAGTGTTCAAATACATGGGCCTACAGGGGACATTTCACATTTAAAGCCACCACAGATCCAGCCATAGAAAGGACTTTTTTTCCCTTCACAGTATAAACAGAAGCAAGGGAAGAGAAGGTCAGTGGGATTTTTGTAAAGATAATCTGATCCCTCTAAGGAAAACAGAACACATTAATCAAAAAGAATAGTTGGTGGATTACTACAACAATCACAGGACAACATTAAAAAGTAAATTTAAAAGATTAGGGGTCCTTTAAAATAGATACCTAAAGAATCCTATGATAAATACACTAACAAACAGGAATGTAGGGAGAAAAGGGTTTTTCATTTAGTTTACAATTCTAGGCTATAGTCCATCAGTTTGAGGAAGTCAAGGCAGGAACTTAAGAGATTCAGTAAATAACAGAAAGAAATGAAAACAAATGTTACTTTTTATTTGTTCTCAGTTTGAATTCTCCACTCTTACATAGGTGATGTCCCCATCCCCACTCCAAGCCCACAGTGGGCTGGGTCTTCCCATATCAATTATGGCAACCCTCCCATAAACCAGCCCAATGTAAACAATCACTCTCTTCCCAAGAGACTGTCAAGCTGACAATTAAGGCTAACCATCACAGCCATTAACAGATGAGAGCCACCTAAGGAGCAGATGTAAACAAAAAAAAATTAAATGAAAGCATTAGGATTGAGGCCCATGGACCTGAACATGAGAAGAGGGGGAGGAAAATTTTCTGCCAGGAAAACCAAGAATTAATAGAGTGAAAAAAGAAAAAAATGCCAAGAAAATGTTTTAAAAACAAAATGGTCAATAATCACAACAATAACAATACTAAGGGTTTAAGTAAGGAGGTGAGAATATTTGACTTCTAAAGCCTTCTAGACAGTGACGATTTTCTGTGACCATCTGCCTGCTGACAAAAGCCTACAGAACTATTAAGTGCATGCCTGGTTGTCAATATCCATGAAAGTCAACTAGTAGAACAGGATGACTCATTTGTGAAGTTATATCACATGACATCAAGTATGTAAGTGTATGTAGATCAGAACCTAAGTCCATACAATTATTTAATCATCATTTAATAGATGACTCTAAGAATTCCAAAGGTATTACCTGTTTTTCACACATTATTTTTTCAATCACAAACCTCTTTGAAACCCTTTTTTTTTTTTTTTTTTTTCCTACAGCACAGAGTCAAGGACAAGATTACATGGATACACACAACACAAATATAGAAATGATTACATGGATGCACTATAACATAAATATATAAAAGTAACTGTCATATCTGTGAGGCCCTTAGGAAATCATTCCAGAGATACTGACAAATTTGAAACAATATAAAACATTTCAAAATAAAATTAATGATAGTAAACAAAATGTATCATGCATATTTTTAAAATTAGACTCTATTTGTATCACAAATAATGGCAAGAGAAATTTTATTTTAAATAAACTTACCACTAACATTTTCAGTTAAAATAAGGTGAAAGACCTGAGCAAAGGCATCAACATCTTTATGCAGCCATATGTCAGAAAGGCAAGCATCCATTTCCTTGATTAACCATGGTTCAAGGCAATTCACATCTTTTTCTGTCTTTTAGAAACAAAAAAGGCAAAGATTACAAATTATGTAATTGCTTAATATTTGCTTACAACAAGGAAAGTAAAATGGTCACAATCATCACAAGAACTAAAAAGCATATAACATGCATGTATTATTCAAAAGTCTCAAATTTCATCTTATAAACATTATCTTTCATAATACAACATTTTGATATTACAGTCATCTTTTCTCTGAAAGTTACCTTGTTAGCAAAATACTAGCCACATGACCTAGCCATGTGAACTAATTGTGCTTCTGATAGTAAATGTACCTATATACCACAGGGTTCTTTTCCAGCTACATCAGCAGAAGTATCACCCTAGAGCTTAACACTAATACCAGTCTCTGTTCTATATCAAGTCACCAGAGTCTCTACTGGCATGGAGGCTCTCACCTATAATTCCAGCAACTCAGGAAATTGAGGCAGGAGAATACACGTTTCAAAATCACCCTGTGCTATATATACCAAGTTCCAGATGACCTGAGCTGTCTCAAAACCCAGGAAAAAAACCTACACTAGCTCCCCCAAAGAAGCTCTGGGAAACAGAATATACTAGACTTTAGAAGCTTCTCTTACACATAATGTCCAACTCAGTTCTTAAAACCACCAGTTTACATAGTCAAAATGCTAATCATGGACTGGAGAGATTGCCCAGCCCTTAAAGGCTAGGCTCATTGTCAAAATGCTGATCACTAATTCAAATGGATCTTCCCTACACTAAACATTTTTAAAGCATCCTTCAGAAGCCTCTTTTAAAACTCAAGCATAATTCTTCTAGATACATTAGAACTTAAACACTAATATAGAACATGAACATCCCTGCATCTCATGCAAAAAAAAAAAAAAAGGAAAAAGAAAAGCAAAGAAAAAAGGAAGGAAGGAAGGGAGCTAAATTTGTTAAGAGCACTTGCTGCCTTTGTAAAGACCCCACATTTAGCTCCCAGCAGCACTTAATAGTGGCTCATGATAACCTGTAACACTAGTTCCAAAGGATCCCATTCCCTCTTCTGGGCTCTGAGGGTATCTGCACTGATGTGCATACATATACATCTGGCAAAATATCCAAACACATGAAATAAAAATAAATAAACCTTTAAAAATAGCTAAATTCTTCTTCAAAATACAAAGTTTGGAACCATGAGTATACCTCAGGAGTAAAGTGCTAAATTTAATCATTAACCCTTTAAAAAGTGGTAGATTATTCTGAAAGTATGTTGTAGAGTAAAATAAACTGAGAAAAATTAACCCCCCCCACTAACAAAGTAAAAAAGTACTATTACCTCATTAAAGTTGTTTAACCTAAAAATTTTTTTCCCACAGTATCATTATGACCCAATATACTAAAATATCTTATCTTACCAGCTGACTGAATACAGCATCACCTCCATCATCCAATAAATCATACTCTTCAGACACACTAGCAATAGCCCGCTGTCTCTGAGATTCAGGCTTGAATGTATTCTCTTGAGCTGAGTACCATTCTGTGAGTGTGGTCTGCTGTTTCTCCTCTAAATTAAAAAGAAAAAAAATAAGTAGACAAGTCCTTTCCTTTTGATAATGTGTTCTTTTGTTTAAAAAATAAGAAAACCAAAAATCTAAGTAAATCTCGTATCACTTGAAAGTTAGTTAGCTTTACTTTGGAGTCACTCCTAAGAAATATACTGGGTCTTTCATAAAGTTGTGTAACATAAAGACATATGAAGCTATATAAAAACATTCATTCATCTACTGGTAAAAGTTTGCTTCTAACCCATAGTTTCAAACAGAGCATCTTTCCCCATAATGTACCTACTGTTTAAATCAATGACTAATATTCATATGGCACTTTGTAGAAAATTATTAAACACCTCATCTCAACTGTTTCAGATACAAAAAGTCAAAGTTTCAAAATTTTCAACATCAACATTTTATAATTTACATGTAAGCAATGATGTACTTTGCAGTGACATAGGAATCACTAATTACATATTCAAGTGGAGAATCAATAGGTATGTGCCCATGATCATACACAGTAAACAAATAAATAAGATTATAACTAAGTATACTATAAAAAGGAAAAGGGGATACAAATAATAACAGCAGATTTGGAAATTTTGTTGGGAATAGAGAACATGCTGTAATCCTTGTATTCACTAGTTCAGGCTAGTGTGAGTTACACAGTGAGATCATGTCTCAGAAAATAAATAAAAAATTGGAAAATGATATTTTCAAGAAACATAAGCCTGTTGTCATCAATCAAGATACTCCTTCCCTCCCCCCTCCCATCAACTTCTTAATTCCACCTAATGAGGTAAGCTATGGGGAGATAACACATACCTCATTCACTGCTTTCTTAAAACACTTACTAAGCTTGTGGATTCAGACACACTCAACCTCCTCAATTCCAGCATGTACTTTAATTTCTTTCCAAAGATTTTAACTTCTGGATATAAACCAGAATGCAAAAGTATATCCCAAGAGCTAGAAAGATGGCTCAACAGTCTAGAACACTGCCTGTCCTTCTAGAAGACCTGAGTTCTGTTCTCAGGAACCACCTGGTGACTCATAGTCACCTTCAACTCCAGTTCAACTCCATATGATCTCTTCTGGCCTCTGCAGGCACAGCACGCATATGGTACACAGACATACATGCATTCAAAACACCCACACAAATTTAATAAAAATAAATAAATCTTAGTTTAAGAAGTGTATTTAGGATGATAGTATCACATAATTTTATTTAATTGTATGCAAGAGAAAAATGTTTTCAAGTGTCCTTGTTCTTCTCTAAGCTAAGACTACAGCATTATAAGAAATAATTCTTAACAGAAGTTTCTTTGCTAAAAAGCTCACCTCGTTGCTTTTCCTTTTTGTACTTTAACATTTCTTTGTTGGTATAGCCAGTAGTTCTTAAAATATCTTCCAGAAACATTTCTTTTACTTCAAATGGTCTCCCCTGTACTAAAGAATAAAAATGTTTAAATATCCACTTTATAGATAATTCACAAAAAAGTGAGAATTCCCACATTTAATGAAGCATGTTATAATATACAAAAGCTGTTCCAAAGCTCCAGGAACTCTCCTAGTACTTCCTGGTAACTACAACGCAGCTCTATATACATCTGACTAGAGTGAACAACTGACTTCATATGCTAGACAAGTGGTCCCATGCTTTTCCCCCTAGTGTTTACTATCTACTTGCCACATGTGTAGAATCACATTAGGGACCGGGAATATTACGGTAAGTACAAACAGCATTACTTCCTACTTCCATGAAGCACACAATGCAGGGAAGACAGTAACATGAAAAAAGAATAGAAACAGAAAGCTGTGCAAAGTCCAATGAGAAAGTACTACAAGAATGAAGTATGGGATATCATGGCAGTGTACCACAGGGAACTTATATCAAGAAAAGATTTTTACTGAGACACTGAAGAACAAGGACATAAAGTAACTTTACTCCACAGAAACTACACAGTATGTGAAGAAAACACAACATGCACTATGACACTGCCGTCGAACCAAAATGAGGCTGTTTTCAAGAAACTAAAAGGAAAGTAAGAGAATAGGAAAGGCAAGAGAAGTTAAAGCTAGAGAAACAAATGAAGTCATATAAGAGGTCTTTGTCTTGAAACAAAGGTATTCAAGACTTGAGAGTGCTCAGCATGATCAGAATTTGACTTCAGAAAGGACCACCCTGAAAACAATATGGAGAGTGGATTTTTAAAAACCCGAAGAGTAGAACCAGATTAAACAGTGGCATGTATAACAATTCAGTAATAGAAGAAAACAAGTTACTTAAGAATAATGGTAGTGAAGATTAAAAAACAAAAACCTAGATGGATTACTAAAACAGAAACAGAAAGTGAAATAAAGAGAAATCATAATTATATTTGTTATGAAAAAAATTTTTAATCTGCTGTAACACCTGACTATCTGGCTTGCCTAACAAGAAGGCTGTTTCTCTGAGTAGCAAGAAAAGCTAAAGTTGGCCAGTGAGAGTTGAGGTTTCCATTCAAGCTAATCAAAGGTGACAAGCACACTTCCAATTAGCACAGGTATCAACTTAATGTGCCAAATCATCCAGCAAAATATTAATATTATCAGATAAATGTACAAGTGTAAGACTCTAGATATCACCCAAAATACACAAGACAAAAGACTTAAAACCATAATTTATGGATTAAGTATTCTGTTTAGGACATATTAGAGGTGATGTACCCATAAAATCTCTACATCCAAAACTCTGGAGAACAATCATCAGTATACAACAGAAAGCAAGAACCACAAGCATTAAAAACAAAAAAAAAAAAAAAAAAAAAAAAACTTTCCAGGGCAATTAAATGCACATCTACAATATCCAATAGAATGGCAAACAAGGGCAGAAAGAGAGAAGGAATGAAAAGTGAACAAAAACAAAAAGGAAAGAAATTCAGGGAATAAAAGTAAAAAATACCAATGCCCTTGAGAAACCCAGAGAGAAAAGTAAGAAAATGCTATAATGTAGATCAATGGGAAGCAATGATCCCAAACAAATTCAGATCTGAGAATCATCAAACACACACACACACACACACACACACACACACACACACACACACACACACACACTAATCATGAGATGTAACATAGAATATATATAACTTTTGCCTAACCTCTAGATATTGGGCTTGGTGATTAAATCAGTAACAGAATAATATTGCTAAGAATTCCTAAATGGGGCCTACATGATAGGAAAAAACCAATTCCTACAAGCAGTATGTCCTATAATCTCCACTGAAGCACTATGGAACCCATCTATGCACATTCATGCACACGCACACATGCGCATGTGGACACACACACACACACACACACACACACACACAGAATAAAATGTAATTCAAATAAAAATGTTAAGTGAACAGCTCCTAACAACTGAAAAATGTAAATCAATCATCCTTTAGAAAAACTTTATAGTGAATCTTAGTAAAATGATGAGAGGAGCTCAGGAAATGATGGTAAATTAGAAGATGCCTTCCTGTGACCTAATGAAGGAGAAATACCAAGATAAGAAAATCAAATAAGGAAAGGCTTGGGAAACATACAGAGAGTCGTAGTATAGTTGAAAAGTGCAGGGAAACAAAACAGAAAATAAGCAAAAGGGATGCATAGTTTTCTAGCATATGGAAGAGAGAGAAGCAGAAGCCTCCTCCAGAAGGTAAAATGGGCAACCCAGGAGAAAAAAGGCTACAGTGTCTACCCACAGAACTCAGATCCAGCTGTAGTTATTGCTAAGACAACTGACTTCTCAAGAACAGGCCAGTAATGGACAAGGGTCCCTCAGCTTAGAGGTGGTGGGTCATACTAAGAGAAAATCTATTGTTTAAAACTGACATACATTGGGATCCTGAGACCAAAATTACTCAACAAGTCAGAGAACCTAAATTCAAACTGCCACTGTCTTCCGGGGCCCGGGCTTTGACAAGCCAAAACATAAAGGCATATGATGTATAGCTCAAGCAGTAATGTGAAAGGAAAGGCAGCCTAATGTCCCAACATTAGAAATAGGCCTCACAACCAAGAATAAGTCTAGAGTTTGACAGCCTGAGGTCAGCAAGTGAATAAACATGACAATATAGATGACTGTCCCCAGGGACCAGGCAATAAAGTACAGAAGCTACACAACAGTATTTGAAGAGAAACACAGGACAAAAAGAAGCTCATTTCTTTTTAAGATTAGATAATTGGATTTGCTACACAGCATCTGAAGCTACTGAAGTAAAAGAGAGGCCAAAGTTGAGACAGACCACTATGAAGTCTCAGGGAAACATAAATGAATATCCTCTACTTCAGAGTATCACCCAAGTTCTATATAAAGAAATAAACATAACCTAATCACACTTCAAAGAAATTATAGAAGATAACTGGTAGCCGTACTATATATCACTGGACAACTTCCAAAATATCTGATGAAGAGGTTCACATCCAAGGCAGCACTAGAAAGGATTAATTTCAAAGTGGGGTGTTTTTGCAACAAATCTCTTAACTTTGTAAGTAAAAAATCACTGAATCGATCCCTTTCGTGCACTTCATCCTGCAATGAATAGAAACAGAAATGAAACCATGGATCAGGTAAAATTCTGTGGATAACTCAGTCTTTAAAAGAAAAACACTAAATTTACATTGCTCAAATTAAATAAGGAAAGGCCAATCAATACCACAGAACATTTGCAGTATGTACAATTCAGAAGCCATCATACAATTTACTGTAGATGACAAAGTGCTGTCCCTTTTCATGCAGAATGTAAAACTTCAAACTATAAAAATTCTAAATTATCTCAGTGTATTCAACAAATGCAATCTTAATATAAACAAAATCAACTTATATATACAGTAGTACACCCTTGTAATATCAGCTACTCGGGAGTCTGAAGCAAGAAGACAGCAAGTTGGAGATCATCCTAAGCAATATAGCAAGTCCTATCTCAATACCAAAACCCGTGTATGTGTATCTGTTAGCACGAGGGAGCTAGTGAATCCTTTCGTTAGGCAAGGTTTCTAAAAGCCTCTTATTAAAAGCTTTTAGAAAGCTTTTCTTTTTTTTTTTCCAAGTAGAATCTAGAAAAAAATCTTAAAATACTTTAATAAGAGGGTAGTTCCCACTTTACAAGTAGCTAATTAATTCAGAAACTTAACCACAAAGTTAAATGACTATAAAGTATATAGTTGTAATTAGGAAATATGTAACACTAAAGGAGTAATTAGAAAGCTTACTGAAGCTGGACAGTGGTGGCACACACCTTTAATCCTAGCCGTCAGAAGGCAGAGGCAGGCAGATATCTGTGAGTTTCTAGGCCAGCCTGGTCTACAGAGTTTCAGAACAGGCTCCAAAAGCTACACAGAGACACTCTGTCTTGAGAAACAAAACAAAAACAAAAACAAAACTTAGTGACAAAAGGAAAGTTTTTTGCCATTTCTAGAAAATTTTCATAGATGAAAAGCTTATTTTCAAAAAACTTCCTACTTGTTTATTTCTCCATGATACCCAATGGTAACAGCACCTTTATGTAACATAAGATATATTCCTAATAATTACACCACCAAATTATCTTGAACAGAATATATTAAAGACAATAACTCATTCTCATCTTACCTATTCTAAAATTATCATTATGTAATTAAATACTAAGCTGTCTCAGTAATATATGGCAAGCTCAACAACAATCTTACCACAATGACATGGGTCACAGTTGACAATGTACTATCGCCTGCCATCAATGTACGAAGCAATACCCCATTAGTGCAAAATGTCAGAAGTGTCTTTGGAGAAACCCTTTTTAAAAAATCAAAATAAAATGCACAATTACAAGTCATTTACATAATTAAAATATAATTACTTTAAATGTCCACCATATATATTTAGCAAATATAAATATAGTATGTACATTTTTATAAATATTATTAATGTTCTACTATATGTGGTTCATTAGAAAGTTATATAAAATACATATAAAACGCCTGACAATCACAAATTTCATGAATAGCTTCTAATTAAGTAAGTTATATACTTTGTTAAAGAACTTAAGTAGGTTAAAAACAACCTTTAAAAATTTAGTTTGGTTAAAAAAAATTACACTACAGATGAAGAAAACTTTTCCAATCATTGCTACAAACCAAGAAATGCTAACACTTGCCAAGAAGGTATTAGTAGTATTACAGCAGGCTAAGCATCCTTAGTCTGGAAATTCAAACTCCCAAGTGTCTAGCTTTATATTTCAGAATATCCCATACACTCACCAGTAAAATTTGTTTGTATATACAATGATATACATAATCCGAAATATTCTAAAATATGGTACACATGATCCCAAGCATTCTAGATAAGGGATACTTAATTGTATACTATCACTAATACTTAATCAAATCATTTACTGAGTTCCCAGTAGATCAATGTTCTAGACTTTAGAAAGTGTAGTAGCTCATTAAATAAAACGAAGTCTCAGCAAGATGAAATAGCTATACTTGATCATGACACTGTAACAGGATACCTACAGCTCAGCTGTTCAAATCCTCACTAAGTTTAGATATAATATTAATTTCTGAATATAGATTTACTGGTAGCAAAATTACCATAATTGTGATTTTTAGTAAATAAAATATAATTAAATCAGTCCCTCCATCCTTTCCTCCCTCCACTAGCCCCTCCCATGTATCTCCATATTCTCAAGTGATACCGTTTCTCTTTATTATTGTTATATATATGTGAACAAGTGTGTGTGTGTGTGTGTGTGTGTGTGTGTGTGTGTGTGTGTGTGTGTGTGAATAAATTTAACCTAACCTGCTGGGTCCAGTTTTGTTGTTCATATGTTCCTAGTTTCAGAGCTGATCACTTAACTCTTCCTCTCTCCAGTCATTTATTGCCTGTGTTATCTGTCTAGGGGTGGGACCCTTGAGACTTTCCCCCTTCCACTTACCATCATCATTTAATCCTCTACTTTTTGTCAAATGTATATGTTTATCCAGCTTTGGGCATGTTGAATGGTAGGAAGACTGTCTTTACCTGCTTTCTAGTCGGATCTGATAACCAATTGTTTGGCCAATTCTTTCTCTTCTCTCTGCAGCAACTCTTTCAGCCACAGCAATAGCAGCTAATCGTCTTGGTTGAGTACAAAATATTCGGCAGGGGATGCCATTTTTAAAGCAGTCATCTAATAGGAACTGAGGAATCTAAAACAAAAATTTTAAAGTGCTATTCACTTTGTATATCTAGAAATACCAAAACAAATCAAATTTCAAATTCCCATAACATGTCAAGATATTAACTAATCTTCTAACCAGTAAGTCTCATATAGCTGCCAATAATCAATGAGAAAATTTAATGTTAATAGATTTTGTTTACAATGAGAACGAAGACCAAACATTTTAAATCAAGTCTAAGAAGAAATATGCAAGGTATAGAAGACCTTCAAATAATTCTGAAAACCAAAAATGACAAGCGTATACTGAGAAATGAATCCTGGATGGTAACTATTACTACCTGTAATGTTAACTTTCCCCAAAATTATCCTCCAAAAAGCAATGAAATGACAAAGTTCCACTGTGATCTTTTAATAGTCAAAATCATCAAGAAAACAAAAATACTCTACAATCCTATAATTACAAATACTTTCCCATAATAAAATTCAGGAGGATCATAAATATTTAAAATAAGAAGTCTTATTGAAACTAGTGAGATGACACAAGAGTTAGGAGTACTCATTGCCTTCCCAGAGTACCTGGGTTCATTCAATTCCCAGCACCCACATAACAGTTCACAACTATCTGTAACTCCACTCCCAGGGAATCTGAGACCTCCTTCTGGTCTCTGTTAGCACTGCAATCATGTGGTACACAATGATACTGAGATAACCCAAACCCAGAAAAGACAAGTGCTGCAAACTCTCTCTCATACATTCTAGCTAAAGTGTGTTTAAATTGGAATACCAAAGAAGGGAGGAAACTAAGGGCAATGAGGTTAATTTCAAGGGGAAGGAGGTAGAATACAGGGGAAAGGGGAAATAAAGTAATAGAGGAGTTCAACTGGTGTAGGGGAGCAGAAGGCAAGGTAAAGGAGAGAGTATGGAAAGAAATATCTAATGCTAAAGACCTCTAAAATTACCATATGGAAACCTACTGTTGAAGGAGTTTCCTAAAATACACACACATTATATAAAAGGAGATTAAATGGAGTTGCCCTATGATGCGGGAGAATGCTTCTCCTATACACAATAGGTTTTCAGAAAAAAAGACCAGTAAGGTTACATCTTATTCAGTTGTTGGTCAGTGGGGTCCCAAAGGCCCACACAAACATTATAGACTATTGCTACTGTTCTTAGTTAAACTTTAGAACTTGGTAGGAGCCTACTGTTGAAGATACAACATACTTGAGTCACATGACATGAAAAATCAAGCTGGTAATAACCTGGAAACATCCTCCCTACTGAATAGCTTCCAGAGTGCTAAAGGTACTATGCATATTATTAGAGAAGAAAAATAATTAATAGTCTTAACCAGATGTGAGCCCTGTGAGCTATAATAGCAAATGGCCTACAAAGATATGCCACTTGAACAACTGTGGTATGAATATCCATTTCTGACTAGATTTAAAGCCTGCTCCACAAGATAGAATTCACACTTGGTACTGTAATGTTAACTGGGCCAAAACCCTGAAGCTGGCTAGGTCTTAGGCCCTGGGGAATAGTACCCAATAGTATTCTGTTCAATGGATATAGTAATAAATTGCTCCTGTTCTTATCTTTGTATGTATAGATCAGTACATCTCTAAACCCTCATTGGAGAAGCTTCTTTATGCAGTAGAGGGTGATTAATACAAAGGCCTACAACTGGCCAACGTGCTGAGAATAAGAGACTATGCTCAACTCTAAATCCTTCCCCCAAGGTTCAGGAATCATAAACAGAACAGAAAAACTGCAAGAGTCATAGGCAGTAGATGTCTGTAAGAAAACAGTGTTTGCTAAACATGTCAGTGACACTGTACACATGAACTCACAGTAGCTGTGACTATTTGCACAGGATCTGCACAACATCTGCACAAAATCCCAGCATGGATAAGAGAAGGGCTCATGAAGCTCCACCACTAGCTGAGGAGCCATCAACAACTGATGGCTGTTGGTGAAAGCAAAGTTAGTTTTCTTCGAGAATGTAGCCCCCACATATTCTCTGTAGGCACTCAGTAACAATTTGCGTATATAACTATTAGTAGAATAACCACTGGCTTGTTTTTAAACATATAGTAGAAATTTGACATAAAACTATAAAATGAAATAAATTATATTCTCTTCAATAAACAAAGAAAAAACAAACCTGTGTGGTCTTTCCAGAGCCAGTTTCTCCTACAATCAAAACTACTTTATTTTCTTTTATTATTTTAACAATTTCTTCTTGTTTCTCAAAAACTGGTAAAGATTGCCTGAATGAATCAAATTCAGATTCTCCCCTTTTCACAGGGACTTGAGGAATGCCATTGTTGAGTCGCCCACTTGTTTTGCTCATTTCTCGGTTTTCTTCAAAAGATGAATAAACAGAAAGTAAGTTTAGGATCTACACTGAAATGACACATTGAAAAATGAAGCTATATAATTTCATATGCTTTTGGATGTTTCTTCTCTACCCATTGCCTCAACTACTGCCCTCCTGTACAAGTCTGGCATCAATTACACAGCAAGTCTTTTTTTCAAAAGTGTTTCCAATGGATAACAAGTAAAAGCCAATAAAAATTAATTACTCCATAACCACTAAAACAAAACATAATCTTAATCACATAAATTATTTTCAGGTTTGCCATAAGTTTCTATCAGTAATGTCAAAGAAAATTAAAATTTTAAGCAGGAAATAATGTACATTACAAAATCTGTTGCAGATAATAAAATATTATGAAAAAGAAATATAGTCTGCATGTTTAAAATGACACATATACAATTTAATGATTCATAGAATAATTTTTGTAAATACAAAATACGAATTTTCTAACAGTGTTTCAGCCAATATCCACATATACCTAAGCAGGTGTAATAAAGATGTAGTCTCCAAACAGCTCAAACTATTTCTGTGTGCTGTGTGTCCACACTTAAGACACTTTATTTAGGGTTTGGATTATAGCTTAATGGTAGTGTGCTTGCATACCACCCATGAGCCCCACAGTATGTCAAAACAATCAAAACTTTAAGGATAAATAAAACAAGCCCTTTGATACCTAGGACCATGTATGTCCTATGAGTTGGAGACCCATTCCTTAGACAACAATAACTATGCAAAGTCTATACTAGGAAGCTAATTAACTTTCTTTATTTTTCTGAACAAAATTATGAGTTCACTTTATAACTTATATACCAACGGTCTTTGAATAATTTAACATACTGAAGATCCTTCCCCAGCCCTTAGCAGAAGCTAAAGCCCCAGTTTAAACTCTTACTCATTACCACATCAAGGCCATGACAGGAAAGGCCCAGACCTTGGAGTGGAATCTCAGCAGTTTTTACTGGTTAGCTGAGTAACCATGAAGGAATTATTTCACCCTTCTGAGCTCCAGATTCTCCACTGCTCACAGTCTAACCTCTCAAAGGTTGCTACTGTGAGGCTATAAGAAATGAGGATGCCACCAAGCACAAGGTAATATTCAATGAGCAGTAGCTATTACTACAATTTTTTAAAAATCTTGGTTTGACTACAAGATATACCTTAATACTTTATTCCAAACTTTTCATAATTCTTAACCAACTCTAATTCAGTATTAAAACTAGAAAAATAAACTTGTACCATATTAGTTCTAAAAAATAAATTTAAGGTAGAAAAGAAAATCACCAAATAATAGGGTAAATAAGGAAGCTCCCAGAAAATACATACATACCAGCTTCAACCGCAAACACATTTCCTCTTTCTGTTTTAGGTAGAAGTTCAGTTCGCTCTTTATTGGTGACAGGAAATCTCTGAATTAGGCTCCTAACGGCATGTTTTGTATTATGAGTCAAATTACAGGTCATCATTGCATGAGCTGTTTCTGATCCATCTTTCTTCTTCACAGTTAGGTATCTATTTGCTCCCTTTCTGAATATTAATAGAAATCATTTATTTATTATAGATAATTGCTTGTTCATATATGATATATGCCTTCTTAGAAAATAAATCTCAAGCAAAACAATGGAAAAAATGCAAATTCTTTGAGATATTAAAATTTCCCCCAAAAAAGACAACAAAGAGAAATTAAGCACTCACACGAGTATCTTTCAACTACTGAAATGCTACAATCCCAATTTTAAATAAACAATAACAAAAGAAAAAGCCTAATATATCCGTAAATGTTAAAATTTGAATTTAGCAGACTGTGGTAGATAAACCATCACCAGTTAATATGTACTGGGAAGAATATAAAGATGTGGGAAATCAGAACAAAAAAACCTAATACTGAAAAGGTGATGGTGGACTATTCCTGTTAGCTTGTCCCACAGCAGGCTTTGAGAATGTGTTAGCAATGTTTCATTCCCAGGAGAGACTGTTAAAAGAGGTACTTTTAATAGCTGAACCCAAACTGTGCAACACACCATTACCAATAATTACTATAAGTATACACTTTAGAAATGGAAATATTTTTCCCAAAGCTTCTGATACACTTCAACTCTGTAACAGTTCAAGTTCCTGGTTCTAAGCCCAAGATAATAATACCTACTTTGAAGGACTGACTGTTCATATGATTAACAAGATAGATGTAAATTACAGCATCTGTCACAGAACAGGCTTAAATGAAAGCCATTACAATAAGAAAAAAAAATTGTTTCCCAAAGTTACCCAAAACATTCCAAATGACATTTTCATTTCCTTATATAACTATCATATAAAAATGAGCAAGAGAATCACAAATATGGTGAAAATGAAATTATTTTATATTTTCTCAATTTTCATTACATTTGAATTCTGTCAACAATATCTTCTTCATAAGAATATTAAACTTGGGCCAGACTTGTCAACCCTGACAACCTGAGTTAAATCCTGGGAATCTACATGATGGAAGGAGAGAATCAACTCTACAAATTGTCACCTGACCATATGTGCTGTAGTATGTGTGTGCATGCTTATGCCCTCAAATGCCTAAGTGACTACAAAATGTAAAGAACACTAAACTGCAGTTTTAGCTGTGTCTAAGTGCAGCTCTTACTTTACCAACATTTAAACATCTGCATTTCCTTACTGAATACCATAGTGAATGGTTAAGTTCTCAATGCTGTTGTCTCCTGTCAAAGTGCTTAGTAATGCCTTAAATAATGGGATAACAACTATCCAGATTATCTGAGTATAGTGACACACAACTATATTCCCACCACTTGGGAGGTGAAAGCCTGATAATCATGAAGTTCAAGGCTAGCCTACACTACCTGAGACTCTGAATCAGGGGAAAAAAGAATAATTAAGATATAACCTAAAGGCGTGGAATATATGGATTCACCAGACCAGTAAATTGAAGTAGAATTTACTAGTAAATAACATGGAAGCATTCCTGGAGTGTTCCTGCTCCAAAGAGACAGACCATCTTCTCTGATGCTCTCCATGGCCAGAAAGGGGCTTTGGACCCCAAACCCTTCCTTTTCACAGGTCATGTCCACACCGGGCCAAGTATGGATGCAAATCTATCCCTACAATGACCTGGTCTAGAGATTTATATTATTTCCACAGTGAACTGGAATTACTAAATTCTAAGCATGCTCTCCATAGTAGGTTCTTTCCCTTGTGTTGTTCTGCAATGCTGGAAACTTCAATTGATACACAAGAAACTACTTATTCCCCTGTGCTGCTCTCTGTATAAATTTTAACTACCTAGTGATGGGGGATGTCCTTCTGTATGCTGTGGATATGTGTTGCTTTTATTGGTTGATGAATAAAGCTGTTTTGGCCAAAGGGCAGGTAGAATATAGCTAAGTGGGAAATCTGAACAAGAAGAAAAGGAATGCAGAGTAATAAATGCAACCTAATCAACCCCAGGAACCTACAGTAGAGGGAAACAAATGAGAACGAACTCCTAAAAGCTGTCCTCTGACATCTACCTTCACAGCCATGGCATGCACATGCAAATATAAACACACACGCTATAATTTAATTAAATTGCCAGGCAGTAGTGCATGCCTTTAATCCCAGCACTAGGGAGGTAGAGGCAGGTGGATTTCTGTGAGTTTAAGACCAGCCTGGTTTATAAGAGCTAGTTCCAGGGCAGCTTCCAAAGACACAGAGAAACTCTGTCTTGTAAAACAAAACAACAACAATAATTAATTAAATTAAAAGTCAATGTTATAGGAAGAGGGAAGAAAATTTATTAATCAACATGCATAAAATTAGATAAGAGAAGTAAATAAGGTGCTTTTTTGTGTAATACCAACTACTATTAACAATGAAGTGTTTTTAAATAGCTACAAGAGAATCCTAAATGTTCTCATCATAAAAAATTAACTATGTGAGACAACGAATTTGCTATTTACCTTGCTATTCCTAATGTACACATGTAATAAAGAATCGTGTTATACTGTGTACATATGAATATATATGTATATAATATATAATTATTGTCAGTTAAAAATTAAAAGGGCTAGAAAGAAAGTTCCATGGTTAAGAGCATTTGTTGCTCTTGCAGAGGACTGGAGTTTAGTTCCTAGCACTGATATAGTGGTTAATAACCATCTGTAACTCCAGCTCTAAAGAATTCATCACCTTCTTCTGGCCTCTGCAGGTATTATAGGCATAGGGTGCACAGATACACAGACAAAACATCCATAACATAAAATAACTCTTTAAAGAAAATAAAACCTCATTGACTCACCAAACTAGACTTCAGTGCAATCTTTACTTTAATCTGTCCTAAATTCTTTCTGAGTAAATAAATGTATGTGTGTTACATCACCCCATGAAAAATCTGTCACTCAACACTCATAACCAAGAACACCAACATTACTCAATTGCAGTACCAGAGGAGCCCACATAACAAAATTTGCTAAAGAAGCAAAACAAAACCTCTATTTTCTCACAGTTTGATCCTATGTTCCCTTCCCATAATTTGCAGCTTTTCGTTCAGGGATCTTTCCTTTGCCAAATCTTCATTAAGTTCTCTATGTGTGCAGTGCAGTTTTTAATAAATCAATCCCTTTCTCACAGCCAGATGTAGTGGTATATGCCTTTAATCCCAGCCTGGTCTACAGAGTGAGTCCCAGGACAGCTAAGGCTACACAGAGAAACTTGTCTTAAAATAAATTAATTAATTAGTTAAATGAAAAATAAATAAACTTGTTTATTTCTCTCATTAATCTGCCATGTATCAGTCTAATGGTAAAGAACCTAAGATGAATAATGGAAGCAATGTTCACTTTTAAATTTTTTCAAACTTATTTTATGAGTATATACAAACTCAGGGCTTCACATGGATGTCATTGGACAACTGTTTGGAGTTCATTCTCTCCTTTCACCTAGTTGAGGCTGGATCTCACTTGTTACTCTACCACTTGCTAACTGCTAGCCCATTCTAGAGTCTCCTGCTCCCATTTCACCATGAGGGTATACAGTTGTTGCTGTTTTAACCAGAGTCAGCTTTACTTTAGTTTCTTTTTTCAAGGTGGGTGCTGGGGATGGAATTTAGGTTGTCAGGCTTATATAGGGCCATCTCCCTGGCCCTAACATTTCTGCATCTGGGTGGTAAGGTGAGTTGGAGAAAGAAAAGCTGACCTTGGTACAGGCATAAATGAGTTTATCTATATATACTATAATTAAGAACAAGGAAGCTAAAACAGAAATAGTGATTAAAATGTAGTCAGACACATTTATCCTCTTTTGTAGTAAATAACTCTGTAAAAATAAGAAAAACTATAAACTTACCCTTTACTTTTAGAAACTAAACCAAGGGACTGACTCAGTCGATGGATAAAGGCTCTCTCCGTACTGGTCAAAGAAGAAGGAAATTCCATTTCTACACAGGAAAGAAGGTTCCACTTATCGACAATTATAGGTATAAAATATGAAAAATACATAAGTATACAATAAAGTTATACAGTCATGTAAAAGTATATTAATTCAGTAACTCACATCTAATAGAATATTAATGTTAATATTTATTTAATCATAAGTTGGAGTGTATATATGTATACCATATGTATGCAGTGCCCACAGGTCAGAAAAGGCATCAGATCCCCTGGAACTGAGTTATGGATGCTTTTAAGGCACCATGAGGGTGGTAGAAATCAAACCTGGGTCTTCTGCAGGAGCAGCCAGTGCTCTTTAACTACTGAGTTATCTTTCTTGCCCCAAACTCTGATACTAATTTTTAAGCTACTCATAAAACCTAAATGTGATAAAGGACTGTGAAATTCACCAGAGATTATTCATCTGTGTTGAAATTTTGAATTGGCATAATAACTATGGACATGTTTTACTAATTTAACTTATTCCTGTTTTGCTTGACAAAATTGTACTTCCTTCAATAAAAAGTTTAATCTCCTATGTCTCTGTTCTTAAAATTGCATAGCTCTCCTACTATTTCTGGATTTGTTGTGACATTTCGCCAAGGCGTTACTTTTGTCAAATATATGTTCAAAATCATTTCGCTTACCCCTTTGAATCGCTAAACCTCATCAGCAAGGGGTCTCCTATTTAAGCCAGCAAATCGAAATGAGCTATGCAGGCTATGTGAGTTACTTCAGTACTGTATTAAGAGGGCAGTGGCAAATAGGTCTCTAACCCAATAAGGCGTGAAACGTGCTTAGAATACCAAAACAAGTTTAACTTTTGTTTGCTATGATGCTTTTAGAATCTCAAAAAAAAAAAAAAAAAAAAAAAAAAAAAAAGCCCTTTAATATTGCCAGGGTTTTTACTTATCTGTTTCATTTCCTTCTGCTCCTTGGAGATTTTGCAGCTTAGAGTAAGGCTACACCTTCTTTTCAATAATAACGAGGAGGAGGAGAAGGACGTTGATGATGGTAGGGGCTTATTAACTGCTTGGAAAGTAATGTTGACTTAGCAGCCTACGGCTGCAGAAAAGTATCCGGGACAAGAAAAAATTCCCACCTGGGAGCAACCTAATCTTTTCACCTTCCGTCGTCCGGCCCCTGCTCCACGAGGGCCCCCAGCCCCGACCCACAGAGCATCCCACTCCACGAGCGACAGTCGTCAAGCGACAGGCGCGGGTTTCACCTCCGCGGCCCGGCCCTCGGTTCCCCTGCCCAGCCCGGGGCGGGCCTGGGGGCGGGTGTCAGCCGGCCAGGACCCCGGTCGGGAGCCTCACCTCTCTGGTCCCCATATCGGAAGCGCTCCAGGGCGATGTTGACGGCGATCTTGACCTCCTCGTCGATACGAATGTCTTTGAGCCCCTTGGCCCGGCCACCGCCTCCGGGACCACACGAAGCCGGGCCGCCGCCGCCTCCGGTGCCGCCTCCGCCAGGAGCCGGAGGACGCGGCGAGACGCTGCTCGGCCTGGACATGGCCCTGAGGAGAAGCTCGCTCCGCGTGGGAGCGGCCAGGCCTGCTGCCAGCGAGCGGTGACAGAGACGGAGGGGGAGCCTGTGGGGACCACGGCCGACCTACCGCTCGGCAGGCAGCACCGCGGGCGGCCAGTCACTCGGAGAGCTCCACTCACAGCAGCGGTGGAAGCGCAGGCGCCCGCACCACTAAAGCCCGCAGAAGCCCCGGCGCGCGTCATGACGTCACCGAGGGCGCGACGCGCGTGACCCCGGGACGCCCGGCCGCTGGCCCGTCCCGTGCGTCAGGGTGGGATGGGATCCCCGGCAGGGAGGTGCGGTCCTCGCGCCCCTGAGGCTTCGGTTCTCAGGCATATGGTTTCATTGCAGGAGACATTATTCAGTTACCCGCTCGTCCGTTTAATGATTCACTCCTTTCTTTCCAGAACGGGCTTCTTGCCCGCCGCTAGACTCACAAACTCGAATGCACTGGAAACAAGGGTTTTCCCGCCTTTCTGGGGTTCATGGTCTAGCGCGAACAGAGTAAGTACAGTGAGTACACCAACTGGTTTCGTTCTGAATGACGAATAAGTTCTTATATATAGCTTTCATTCTGAGATACATGAAGACCAGAAATAAAAATATAACTGCCCCCCCCCGTGGGCAACCCTAAATGGGATTGACAGCACCAAAAGGGGGGGGGAAGGTTAATGATTACATTATAGTAAGTGCTCACAGTTTGAAGAAACAACCCGTCATGGAAGCAGGACGCATAATAATGAGAACAGCAATGTTTTGTGGCAAAATTAAATACAGAGATAGGACCTTCTCAAGAGTTGCAAAGATTATGAGAACTTCCACTGGCTCAAATAGCATCCTGTTAATATAGATCTAATTCCAATGATCTAAATTGCTTCCACTCTGGTGTTACTATTGTCATTCTCCAGAGAGCAACCAAAGTAATTGTTTTCTGGTTTTCAAAATAGGAGGCAGAGAGTAGTAACATTGAGTTGCTCTCCGCTGCAGCTAGAACAAACAACAACTTTCTCACTGTAGCTCCCAAGACCCTTTATGATACAGCCTGTGCCAAACACTTCCACCCTCATTTTGCTCAGATGTACTCAAATATATTCTGTTTGCTTTTGCTTTGCATTGCTGGTTTTTGTCTTGGAGAAGGCAGTCTTCATCTGAGAATTTCACAAGGATGACTCTGTACCATGATTTAAAACATGATTCTGTCCCTTACATGGACATGCTTTCTAATCGTGTGTATCATTTGCCTCATTTGAAAGTGTTTTTACTTGTCAAAAGTTCTAAATTCCTAATAAGTTCCTAACAACACAAAGGTTACCTTGTTTGTTCCATCACCACACACAAGAATCTTTTCAAATCTAGGGTTAGAAATGACATCTCTGCTCCCAGAAATTATTCACTGTTCTCCTTGCTCTTCTACTTGCTAGAAACAAGAAGAGGTGGGCCTATAGTAAGTCTGTTCCCACCCAAAACAAGTAACTAGCTTTGACAGTAGACTAAGCTAATTTCCAGAAGCTATATTGCAAACTTTGTTTTGAAAAATCAGAGAAAATATACCACAGAAACCAATTCTCTGTTTCACCAACAAATAAAAGACCATGATAACCTCATACAGCTACTCAGAATTTGAGCAGAGATCCCCTTCAGAGTCATTCCAGTTTAGATTCCCTCTAGTGAGTCTGCATTTTCATTGGTTGGATCCTTCGATGGATGGGATCTTGCCCTAAGGACACCTTCCTTGTATCCCAGTGTAACGGGGAAGGTATCTATTTAAAGGTGTAGCCTCTGCAACAATTACAGCTGTTTTCTCCATGCCTGCCTTATTTGAAACTTAAAACTGGCTTACACTCCTTTCATCACCAAGCTTTACATCTGTCATATCTTTTTGTCCATTCTTACTCTCTCCCACATGCTATAGGTCTAGATAAGAGCAGTAAGCAATAGCCAGAGCCTGAATGCTATCCTGTCATTAAATGTCCACCTCCAAACAAATTAATTCATTTCGTTTTTATTCATTCTCACTCAATTTCTTATCTCATGGGCAGATTCCTTGGTAGATTGTAACATGAATGCTCTTTAACCTAGTTCTTAATCAAATTCTTGCTCTCTTCTGAAACCTCGTGCACCAGGCCTCTACTGTTCACAATTCTCTTAGCATTCTCATTTCTAGATTTCTACCAGCATGTCCCATTAAGTTCTGTTGGCAGCATTCTAGGATTTCTCCAGCCTAAGGCTCCAAACTCTTCCTTACTCCTCCTTTCAAAGGCCGGTCATGTTTACTATAACAGCAGCCTCACCCAGTAGCAAACCAATGTATTGCTTTTCTCACTGCTGTGATAAAATTAACAGCAAAAGCAACTTAAGGAAGTAAGAGTGTATTGCAGCTCAAAGTCTGAAGGAACAGCCCATCATGCCAGATAGTGATAAGAACTGGTGGGAGCTATGTGGCTTCCTCGGAATAGCATGAATGTCTCTCCTTGTGGCAAGACCCTGGAGATCCTGGCCTGTGGCAAAGACTTGGGACAGCTTGATGCATAATTCTGGGCATGACCCCAGGAGCATATGTACTACGTGCTCTCCTTGCTTTCACTATGCTAGCCATACTGCTGGCCTGAATGAGTCATTGCAGGTCATGAAGTTTAATATTTGCATACAGATTTTCAATACAGAATGGCTTTAACAACAAGAGTCTTTGAGAAATTTTAATGAATAGGTGGTACCCGGAGTTAAAGAGAACAGTCTAGGAACAGGGAATGAAGTAGACTCATAGAAACCCACAGTTCCTTCATTTCTAATAACTGTGCCAATACCCTAAGAAGTTAAGAGAGATAGACACAAGGACAAGAGATTAAATAGTGCTACCTATTAAGAGTAACTCCAAGTTCTGTGGCCTAGAGGATAAATGGAAAAACCTGAAATATCCCCAGAGGTGATGGAGTAGTATAGATTGTGGAATGGATTGATCCAGCTTTGGCTGGTGAGTTGATTGTGAGAACCCGGACCCTACCAGATATAAATATTGACCATTAGAGACTAAACTGGCATGACGCTGTAACCGCAAATGCTGACAACTGGGCACACTGTTCTACCTGTAGGTGTGCCTAGCTGGAAGAGTTTGTAGCTTGCAAGACTGCTTATGCTTCTAACAGTAGAGCTATAATGGCTACCAGTGGAAGACGTAGGAGAAGGAAGGGGAAAGAAGCAAGGAACAAACTGACAATTGTTGCAACCATTGTTTAGAAACTTAGGAAGTAAACACTGATTGTTAAACTGTTTGTGCAAACCATTGAAAGTGTATAAAAGGCAGCCCAGGCTATATCAAGGACTACTTGTTTGAACAGCAGGTGGTCACATTTGCATCTATAGTCAGGAAGGAGAGAGATGTGAGTGCTGCCAGTAGACTCACTTTCTCCTCCCTATCAGGGTAGGGCTGAAGCCCAGGCTGTGGTGCTTCCCACATTCAGGTGAGTCTTCCCATCTCAGTTAAATCTCTCCAGAAATGCCTTCACAGATATGCCCAGTAGTATGTCTCCCAGGTGATTGTAAACCCTGTTATGATTTACCATCATACCAAAGGAAAAGGCCTCTTGCATGTCTGCTCAGGTGTGTTTACAGAAGTCTATGGACCAGTGAGTACTTACTGTGTCTTAAGTTCCTCTCTTTCTTAAATAGGAAAATTTAATGCAGGTATTCTATCTCTGCTTGTCATTTCACATACAGCATATGGGTGGAGACATAGAGTGTACATATTTACACATTACATAACTTGCCTGACCATGAGGTAAGACATTTGAACCTGATTAGAGGACTGTGACTCAACAACAGATCCTGGTTGTGGTGACTAAGTCAAACTCTGGATTTCTCGGTCAGGGAAGATGTGTGTTCTGTGCAGGGCAAGAAGAAAAATTACAGCAATTTTGTTTAAAGGTTTTGATTTTCTTCATGATTCTAGAATCAGGCAAAGGCTTGGTTCATAAACTAGAGGATGTCAGCTTTGTGAAAACTAAAGAACTGAAGAAAACAGAAACAAAGAACAGATTGGTCATTTTTAAATAACTTGCCTTGAGGCAGAAAAAGAGGGATGCAACAATAGAAACCTGGTTCACATGATGATGTACTTAAGCTAATGTTTGTTGTTATCTATTCTGTTCACACAGGGTCTTATGTAGAGCAGGCTAATCTCTAACTCACAATCCTCCATCTTAACCTCCTGATTGCTAGGCCTGTAAATATGCCTGCTTCTGCTGTCTCCTTTTGTTTTGTTAATTAACTGGTTGCTTTAGGAGAAAGATTAAAGAAAATTTCATCACATCAACTGAAACCGGCCTGGGAAAATTGCTACTGTGGCTCTCACTCCCCACCTCTGCTTTTCCTTCTCCTTCCTGCTCCCTTTCCTCTCCTTCCCTTCCCTCTTCGATTCCTCTCTCCCTCTCATGATTTCTCAGAAAACCTGACAACAGCTTAGTTTCAGTTAGGTGGCATATGACTTCATTTGGGCTTTCTTTTTCCTAGTTTGTGGGATTCTGGTGCAAGAACTTAGTCCAAAACAATGTTTTGGTTTTTTATTTGGTTTAGGTTGCATTGGGTTTTCATTTTCATTTGGCATTGGTTAGTCATGTCAACAAATTGCAATGCTCACCACCAACTGTGTTCATCATCTTTGGACATCTTACTAATCCCATCTTCCTTACAGTTAGCTGTAAGCCACATGGCTAAGTGCTAGCCATAAGTGCTTCCAGCAACATACACTGCTTCTGGGATTTTCTTCCATCATCCCTCCATGTTCTGCTTTTCCTGGCCAGCTGAAAGTTCTTAGACAGTGACAGAAACTCTATATAGCTGCTTTCTATGATGATTGTGATGGATGCCCTTACCAACCTGGTTTGATCTGGGTGAGAAATAATACTTAACTGTGGGATCCACTGAGGTTGTTGGGACTGTTTGTTTATAACACTATACAGCTGTTGCATAAATTGCTCCTGATGAATCGCACTTCCTTGTAATCATATCTTTATATACTTATACCGACTCTATCCTATCGTGACATCAATGAACAGAGGTTTGAATAATACTTACAAATTCAGGTTTAATTTTACTGTTAGGCATTCTGCTTCCACCCTGTAAAGGAGTTGAGG